CTCACCGACACTGCCTCTCTCACTCACTGTATGACTGTCATTCATTATAGTGCAATATTGTACAATACTGTACATTGTTTCTTTGTTATTCTCACTGCATAATTTAAAATTTATGTAACAATGTAGAAGAAATACGATGTTGTTCATTTATACTTACACTCAATTTTGTGGGTAAACATCAGCTGCTAAATTGTCTTGCTGCCCTGCAGCCAGTGTTACCGAACAAACCGACTGACGCATCATCTCTTCAACCACTTACCATCTTCCTTCCTCTGTCCCTCCCACCCACTGCATCTCACTGACACTCTGCCTCTCTCTCATTCTACTCTCATTCCCACAAACAACAATTGACAACTCTGTTTATGTACATTTATGTTTTGCATGTTTTATTGTTTTTAGCTTCAGTATTTTGATGTGTTGTAATTATTTTGTCACAGAGCTTAGTAATGTACAGTATATTAATCTACCATAGAGCTTAGTACAGGAACACCTCCCCCCTTATTACATTAATTTATGTGGGAAAAAGTGCTTCGATGAATGTAAACCACTTAACGAAAGCTTTTTAGTGGAACCTAACCCTTTCGTTCAAAGGAGACTTACTGTATTCAGAGAGTGCTGAATCTGTCTTACAGATTGAAGAACGATATCAATTTAATGACCTGTATTAGCCCCTTAGTTTTTATATAAATGTGGGGTAATACATTAATTTTATATACGCACTCTATCACCCCCTGTAACTTCCCACTAGCTGTGAGGTATCATGTTTACAGCATGTGATAAGGTGTGCCCACGGGAAGTTGTGTCACTTTGTGCTGAGCTAAGAAATAAGTAGCTGGCTCCCTGGCCACCTATTGCAGGCAGTAGTTTGATAACCCTGACTAGAGGACGACGTTATTCAGAGCCATCGTTGATGGTTCCATCTTCCCTCGAGGGAGGACGTCGGATATATTTCCGTTCTCCCTTGACGGGTCCCTACTCATTCTCACTCAACTCTCACATCAAAAGGACATACTTAGCAGAGCAATTTAAGATAGCCTCCGTCCTCATTTAACACTCATAGCTACAGTGATTAAGTTATGGTGATAATCCTTTTTGAAAGTATATATAGAAACCTTTTATAATAAATACAAACAAAAGGAACATACTGTATTGGATTTCACTACAGAAGATCCAATAAACTTTTATCTATATTTTAGTATGTTTAAAATATATGGTAATGTGCTTCACAAGCGATTGTTACAAGTGGTGACAACCCAGGAAGGTTGTTACATATATGGCAGTTTCACAAATAACTATTATATTCATGGTAACAGTCACCTCAACAGATACACAGTTGGTAAAGGTAGAGATGTTATGTCCACCCCATTACTGTGTTATACTGTTACATTGTTACTAAGAAGCTTTCGTTACAGACCCTCTGGTTTGAGTTTGGAAGCATTGTCAGGCTCTAAACAGGGTGATTCAGCAAAGAGTACATTAAATTGGAGGATGATATCCTTGGATAATTCTAAAGCACAATGTCTCTATGGTAAAATGTCAGATTCTGCAGTTTTCATATTACAATACATTTAAGATGTTGTATTAATGAGAGTAAATTTGAAGTGACACCCCCTCCCCACTGTAACTGCCTTTATCTCATTCGGTCGTATATGGTCCCAGTCTCATTGCACCTGTGTCAACCATCTGCATCATGCTGTACTGCTGTACATAAGACATCTGTGAATATATAATTACAAAAACCCATGGGGGTTTCACACCAAATTCACTCTCATTAATACAACATCTTAAATGTATTGTAACATGGAAACTATGCAGAATCTGACATTTTACCAAAGAAACATTGTGGTTTAGAATTATCCAAGGATTTCATGTACTCTTTGCTGAATCACCCTGTTTAGAGCCTGACAATGCTTCCAAACTCAAACCAGATCACTGGCAGGTGTCATCAGTGCTTTGCCTCAACTGTCTAATGTGTAAATTATATTAAACCACATAACAGAAACTTTAAAAAATTAAACCATACATGTTCTCATGCATGCAGTATATTATATGAAAACTAGCAATACAGAGTTACATTCCATGGTTATATCTGAAGCAATAATGAAAGCTCTCAAACAAGTAAAGAGTAGTGCAACTTGCAGTGAGCATACTGCCCTCAATTTTGATTTGTAAAAGACTGTCAGTTCATTCCATTCTAAATTGGGTGCAGTGGTAGAGTAAGGTCAGATATTTCTGAAATTCTCTCAAATAATATGCTGTTACATGCTAGGATTTACTATACAGTTCTGCATATCTATTGTAATTGGGGTGTCTAACTTTTTCTAATTTTCATTGATAAGTATCTTTGAGAAAACCTGTCTAGTACACCTCTATAGTGGTTTGTTTGTACCAGAGTGCACAAGTTTCTAATGCCCTGGTCCATGGATTTTAATTTCATTTTCAAATACATTCTTCAGAATTCATAATTGTATTTTCAGAGAAATACTGTACAGTAATATCTCCGTAAGCTGGAATCTCTCAAACCTGGATGCACCTGGGTCACACCAACAGTAATGAGGCATATCACATGTCCCAACAGAACGAAGAGACTGCATTAATTGAGACCGAATGTGAAAAGGACCTACAGTAGGTGAGTATGTTGAGAAGAAGGTGAATCAAACAACAAAACTAGTAGGTCTTATAAGAAGGTTGTTTAGTTATCTGGATGGTCCATCGCTCATCACGATCTTCAAGAGTGAAGTGCTTCCCCGTCTGGTCCCCGAGGTATGCTAGAGACTGTCAATTGATTGAAAATGTCCAAAGGAGGGCCACCAGACTGGTGCCTGCTCAACGGAACCTCAGCTACACAGAGAGATTGGAACGCCTGCAACTACCTAGCTTAAATTACAGATTGGCTACCTAATTGAAGTGTATAAACATCTCGGGGGGGGGGGACTACTCAGTCGAGTATCCATACTTGGAGCTGGCGGACATCAGTCCCATGAGGGGTCACAGCTCAAGGTTTAAGAAGCCACAAGTCCAGAAAACTGTGGGGGACAAACTTTTTCAGAGTGAGAGTTGTGAACAATCTGCCAGAGAGCGTTGTGACGGCACCGAGTGTGAGCTCTTTCAAGGTCAGACTTAACCAACACTGGAGCAGGTTCCTATATACTGTATTCAGGAAAGAGTGCATGCCCAGTATTTGTCAACAGTGTGTAGCTGAGATGTGACTGACCACCCAAGTGGCTAATGAACCAATCAGTGGCAAAAAATATAAAAGAAAAAATACATTAAGCTTGTTTTGGTTAGGTTAGGTTAGGTTAAGTTAAGTTAAGTTAGGTTAGATTAGATTAGATGAAGATAAGATTTGGTTCGGCTGTTTAAGGGTCCACTATTATTTCATAAGTGATGTGTTTGTTTTACATTACATCCATTTTTAGGCAAGGAAAAACTTACATGCACATGGGCATTTCATTAGCTATACAATGTACATAATTTATGTAGGTAATTATATAGTGGTTACATGACAAAACCCCAAAGGGTTGTCATTTGTCAACACAAACCTAACCTAACCTAGACATAAAAGTGTTTTATTTTATATTTTATATATGAGACTGGGGTTTTGTCCGTTGGGGTTTTATCCGGTCACCATTATAGTGGAGACTGTTGTAGTTTGTGAAAATGTTAAAAAATATATATTTTTAAAATAAATGCTATTTAACATTTGTGGGTATGAAGAACAGACATAAGCAACCAAACCAAACAAATTTACCCAACTTTCCCGGTATATTAAACAGAAAGAACTTAGTATGATATGGTGGGGATACGGACAAAAACCCCACCATACGAAATCCCCAAGGACAAAAACCCCGGACAAAATCCCCATCCCCTACCGGACAAAAACCCCATAGTAAAAAATAAAACAGATTTTGTTTCAAGTTTTCAATAATTTTCTTACAAATCCACTTTGATATATGAGATCTTACCATTACTGTCCTCACTTTTTGGGACCTCAGGGGACCCGTGACCTCACAATCTCTGGTCTCTCAGGTCTGTTTAATGACGCTTGGTACCATGAGGTGAACTGTAAAAAACCTTGTTCACTTGTACACTAATTCAGTTTTCCTTAAACAGTCTTTGAATACAGTCGGAAGCTAGATAGCTTGTTTCTCTTTTTCATACAAATTTCATTTAACGTTAGGTTAGGTTAGGTTCGGTTCGGTTCCAGTAGAGAAGGGGTTTTTGTCCGGTAGAGGTGGAGTTTTTGTCCTAGGGGTTTTTGTCTGGTGGGGTTTTTGTCATGGACCCCTGGGGTGGAATTTGAGGCATTTTCTGGGTGTGAGATGATGCGGCCGCATCGGCGCTATGCAGCCCTGGCAGGTTAGTCCTATAGGCCAATTGCAAGTTCAGCCGTGGTGTACACCATGCTGTGGTATCCCGGCAGTCGTAATACAATATATTAACCTTTATGTATTCGTCTTAATTATATTTGTAAACAACAGTACTAAATGTACATAGAATGGTAGCCGACTGTATTTGTACTAACTAATTTTAGACATATACTGTAGTCTTTACTATGGTTTCGACAGCCTTTTGTGGATAGGAGATTCAGTGGTCTGAAAAACTGAGGAAAGCTTGAATATTTTATGATTGTATTACAAAGTAGTCATTCTGATATTGGTAAATATTTAGAAGTTTTCAGAACAATGGAGTACTACAGTATATAATTGAGCTTTAATATAGTTTATCTTTTAAAGGGTAATGCATATAATCTACATACAGTAATAGACTGTCAGACTGTGGGCGCCTGTACAGGATTGTTTTATACATGCTGAATCAATAGTTAACTTGTATAACTATTGTAGTGACACTATCAGGGGTTCCTAGAAATGTGTTGGAAGATGTTCACTAGTTGTGTCTGGCGACCACATGTGTAGACCAAACACGGACCTGTTCACCAATAAGAAATCGACTTTGGGCACGAGAACCAATCAAAACACAGTTAACTGCAGCAACTGGTCGGCAGCTGAGCCAGTCAGCTGACTGTCAGGATACACTAAGTAAACACTGCACCAAGAGATGGCCACAGACAAATATCAACATTAAGGTATAAGTTCTCTGTGGAGGAACAGGATTAACGGGTAATATATTCAGTCATATAGTTGTTAAGTTAAAGGGGGGTGGTGACCGCAGATTATGTTTGGTAAACGTTAATGGCCAAAGGCTACTGCTCTGGCGATGTTTATGGGCAACTCCCCCTTAGTCTGCGTTTTGTTTACCAGCCTATTAATTATTTCTACAAGGCAATTAGAACTGTAAAGTAATACTTGACTTAAGGCTCGAATGTCTGTTTCTTAACACTTATATTCTTGTGTGAATTTTGTTGTGGAGATTACTATTTCAATGAAGGGTGAATTTTTGATGTTGAACCGGTATTTCTCTCGCTGTTATTAATATATTTTTCGTATTGTTTAGATAATTCTAAGACCCCTTTCCTCTGTGATATTTCCGCCGGAAATTAAGGATAACCGAGATATTAATTTTCAATATTATTAGATTTGGTTAGTCACAAGTGTCGCCATTTGTTGTTTACGTTTCACAGAGAAGGTCTGACCACCCATCACGCAGTGCTCCTTACCTCCGTGTTACTCACAGATACTCACAGATGATCTTCTGGAAGAGGCTCACGCCTGTGACTCCAGCTCAATAGCCTCTTCTCTACTCAGACGGTGGCTGCGTGTGGTGGATAATTGTGCCCTAAAATTATATACGTGTTGTTGATTTTTCCAGTATTTATCTAATTTTGCTTCAAACTTTTCCACCGTCTCCATATTCACTACCCACTCAGGTGAACTATTCCAGTTGTTGACAACCCTACTCGTGAACGAGTGTCTTCTGAGATTTAGCCTCGCTCTTGTTTTGTAGATCTTCTTTGAGTTCCCCCGGGTAGTGTCAGCTTCTTAAGCGTCTACAGCGCATGTGCGGGGGATGGTGTGAGAGTTTCTTACTGGCTATAGCGATAGGAGACATAATTGGGCAAGAGTTTTTTGTTTTAGCCATTGAACAATGCGTGGGTGCGTCAGGAGCGGAGATTTAATTTTTCAGTTCTAGAATAACCAGATATGACTGAACAGGTGGAAAAAGCTGTGCCGACTTTGTGATAGAGATTATTTTATGTCATTTGCAGAGTTTCATCAGAAAAATAGTGTTAGGTTAGGTCAAGTTAGGTTAGGTTAGGTAAGGTTAGGTTAGGTTTGGTTTGGTTGGTGTGTTGGTTTATTATATATGTGATTTATTCGGAAAAAAAATCGTTAAGATTGATGGGTAGGGTGGGGGGGAGGTAGGGATCTCAAAATCTATTGATTTCCTGCGGAAGTGAATATCAAATTTGTTCGAAACTCATAAAATAAAATCGGAAAGACTTACTTTTAATATCCAAACAAAGACCAGTGCATAAGTGAAAATTGACCAAATGAAGGGAAAGAAATCCCTCAAAAGTGGCTTTTTGGAAAATTTATAAGGTAAAACTTACCTTTAACTTTGTGACAAGATTTCCACTTTGACAAATGAAAACAAACAATCACTGAACTCTGATTTACAGAAAGTACTTACTAAGTTTGGTTGTACTTAGTGGTCTGTTCCTGCTTAAGTCAGACCCAGTTTTATATGATTTAATTTGGAAGTGCCAAGCCGAGGCTGCCATACACTTTCTGGCAAGAACTTGAAATGATATTCAATAATACTTGATGACAGTATTCCATGTTAACCAGGAACCCATGGAATTTTTTCTTTAGAAGACAAATGCTTTCGGTGGTACTATAGCGTGCGGTCTACAAGGTATTTAGGGTGGTTAGGTAGTAAAATTGCAGATTACAGCAACCAAAGAATCTGATAAAAAAAATTCTGATGATTATTTATGGTTCAAATCTGACATTTGTTTTTATCGGAAATCACTCATTTTGGATTTAGCCCCCCCTCTCCCTCTAACAATAATGGGAGAAAGTGTTGGAATTCGGGGTTCTGGGTGGGGAAGAGCCAAAACGAGTGGTTTGTGGTAGAAGCGAATTCCAAAATTGTCCGAATCGCAACAAGAAAATATCAGAAGAACACATTGGACAACAGAAATTCTGTCTTTACGAAAAAATAGTAGAAATAATAGTTCTATCGATTGCGTGTTCTGAATTCTCGGTGCTTGTTAACTAATGCAATATAACCAAACTAAACCTTACCTAACCCCCTAGCCAGGGGCAGACCTCCGGTGGCCCTAGCCGGTGGATTTGCCCCCGGACCCCCAGACGTTATGTAATAACCCAGAGTCACGTGGTCAGCCTCCACAAGAATATAAATAGCCGTTATAGTTTTTATTACCTTACTCCGAGTTAGGGTCGGAGTCTGAGTCAGGGACCAGAATGTGTCGTGGGTTCCTATGTTCTCGCTCCGATTGTGAAGGGTACAGGAGAGCAACTTGGAAGAAGGCGTGGTGCAACTTCCTGGTATATTTCTTTATGAAGAGATATCTTGCTAAATACTCAATACCTTCCCTCCTGCACATACGCGGGAGGGAAGCGAACATACACAATTTAAGCAACAGCTTAGGGACAACAGGTGCTCTTGATTTTATTTTAAAAAATTCAATAACTTCCTTATTATCAATTTATGACAGAAGTGTAATATAAGAAAATGATCATAGAAAAAATAGTTCTATTGATTGAGTGTAGTGAATTTCCCGAATTCTCTGGTTGCTGTATACTACAATATTACCAGTCAGGTCAGGTCAGATTAGGTTTGGTTAGGTTAGATTAAAAATATCTTTGTAGACTACATGCTATAGTACCACTATGCTTTCTTACCTCAAGTGAATCTCATAAGTGATGAGAAATGGTATTTTGTGTGATAATGTATTTGAGATTTTGGTAATTTCTGAGAACAACACTACCACCAGAAGGAGTTGTTCGATTTCATTCATTGGCTAATATTGACGACTACTCCGCCGACACGTTATTTGTTTTGATGTTTATATTCATACTATATTTTCATCAGTGAGTTTTGATGTGATGATAATTAAATTTTTTTAGGTTTGGTTAGGTTAGTTTAGTTTAAGGTTAGGTTAGATTAGGTGAGGTTAGGTTTGGTTAAGTTAGGTTGAACTTTCAAATAAACACTTTTTAACACATTTGCCTTAGCTACAACAGTGTCCACTATAAAACACAGTGAAATTGCAGCATTTTTAAAATTGTTTTCTATGAAAACTCGGTGAACGGTGTAGTCGTCAATAGTTACCAATTTTTCCACTGATGTCCATATCACTAAAGTAAGTATTTTAAAAGGTGAAAAAAAATGTATTGCAATAATTAAATTTTTTCTATCTACAATCATAAATCACCTGCAGTGGGCAGGACATGAAGGATGAGGGAAATTGCAGGGTAAAACTCAGTGAAAAACTGATCACATTACACTAAAATTATGTCTCTACAGGCCCTGTACGTGAAGAAATTAAATATTTACCGTAAACACTCCTCCAAAAAATCAGCTGTCACAATACAGTATGCTGTCATCTCTTATTTTTTTTTACAACTGACGCGCTCGGTCCGGTTGTACTCTCGTGTCGACAAAAAACGTAAAATTACCACATGACGCTTCAACAAAGTTGCTTTCATTGGTGCCAGATATCTAAATAAGTACTTTTTGTTTAATATGGCGGGGGGTCCGGGAGACAGAGCCCCCAGCTAGGAAGTTAGGTAAGGTTAGGTAGGTTTCTTTGGTTGGTTAGGTTTGGTTCTATTATGTTCTAGTAAATGTTACCTCTGGTGGTATTAATAAGAAAAGGCTAATACACTGTACTATATTTTTTACAAGAAAATTAAGTTCTATTTTTTCAAAATCCCCAGAGAGCTGCCTTTCAACCTACAAGCAATAATTTTGCTTCTCATATATAACTACTCCTCAAGTCCAGTATGCAAGTGGATACAATAATTTAAGGTAAGAAACTGAGATATTATCACAATATTCTTACTGTAGAGGTGGCAGGAATCATTCAGGAGGCAAAATTATCTTGTTTTATTGGAAGAAATCAGATAAAATTTGGGTGAATATGTTCAGGAATGTACAATATAGTCTTGCTGCTACTGTGCAATGATTATTAGTATGGTATACTGTATACCATAAATTTAATGTTATTATGCTCTTTTCACGCCAAGCCTGCAGCTGTGCCAAATAAAAAGAGCCTGTGATTGGTTGAATCATGCTGGGTGAATATGCATGGGAGGATGGTGATATAGTTGGGCATCTCTGATTGTTTTTAACTTTTTCTTTTTCACTCTAGGATATCTATGTCATCAGTGTGTTTCACATGCTTATTTTTACTTCCCCAGCTTCAGAGATCATCTAAGTCAACGCTAATTGTGAATATTATTTGCAATTGCAGAATATAAAGAAAACAAATAATGAGCTCTAGATTAATCCAATGTACTTCATTCCTCTCTAGACAATCAGTTGCATTGGTAAAATTTGCTCTAGGCCCTTGTTGCAAAGCTTATGTGAACTGAGTACAGTATAGTTAAAGTTATGATCCAGGTATTATTTTTTATAATATATTTCTCACATAAATGTTGCTGTACAGGGCATCCTTGCTTAACGTTGGGGTTACGTTCCTGAAAATTCGACGTTATGCAAAACAACATTAAGCGGATCAATTTTCCCCAACAGAAATAGAAAAAATACGAGAATTATGTTCCCCAGCCTCCCTTTGCCCCATGAAAAAAGTTAAATATACAGAAAATCATTGCCATTTTTATAGAAAATAGTATATAGAACTACAGTACAGTGGTCCCTCGGTTAACGAGCACAATTCGTTCTAGAAGGTTGCTCGTTAACCAAAAAATTTGTTAACCGAAACCATTGTTTCAATGGGTTTTTGGGTAATTGGTTCCAGCTCACCGAAAATTACATACAAACTAAAAATAAATGCAGGAAAGTACACTTACTTTGAGGTGTGCATGTAGAAGGCTCCTGGTTGTTGATGATGATGATGATGGCAATTAGAATGGGGGTGGAGGAGAAGGGAGAAGAGATGGCATTGGGGTGGAAGAGAAGTCACCCCATGCCGCCATTTCACCCATAAAATTTTAGTTCAATTGGTGTAATTCAAGATTATTTTCTTTAAATCAACACTGCACTGCGCTATATATTATCAATATGTAAAATATATTTCAAAATTACCAATAATTTGACTGGAAACACAGAAAAAAAGCATTTATGTTGAAGAGTCTCAAACAAAATATTCCTTCCTCTGAACTGGTAAACAAACTGACGCCAAGCTTGGTGTGTTGAGTGACTGTTTGGCGTGCAAAAAACTAGTTTCCTGTACTTCAATTATGTTCAATAATTGTTAAAATGACTAAAAAATATAATATAAAACTTTTAAAATTATTGAATCGTACAACCTTCTTGATATTTACTAAAATGGCAAGGAATTTAAGCCCTAAAACCGATTACTGTATTGCCGGACTAATACTGCAGCTGGTGGGCAGCCAAATGCAGGTGAAAACATGTTGGGAAAAATTCGTAAGGAATTCATCACTTAAAAAAAAAAAAAAAATTGGGTCACGACTGCGGCGGTCGTATGTCCCGACGGTCGTAAGGTCAGAGCAGGTTGTAAGTACCGATGGACGTAAGTTGAGGCAGTCGTAAGTCAGGGACTACCTGTACACACACCCATGCTCTTCATTTTATAGTTTTATAGTACAGTATACTGTGCAGTATACTATAAAACTATAAAATACTGTACTGTACTGTATAAAGTTCAGTATTTTCTTTCTTTCTAAGCCACATTACTTTATTGTAATGATGCACACTTGGAGCACAGAATCTCCAGTTTTTCCGACTTCCTTCCCGAATTTTTTTCATTGAGTCGAAGATCGTTAAACCGAAAATTGCAGATCGTTAAACAACAAAGGGTGTTTTTAAATCACTAAGTAAACAATCATTAAACAAGGAATACTATCTGTACTGTAAAAACATAATTGAGAAACCTGTAAGTTTTGAGTCATAACACGTGACATTTATAGAAGTTTCTCTTTAGATTTTGGGTATATTATGGGAAGACACTGTGTGATACATTTGCTGCATTAGATTACAGTAAGCAAAAAAGGTATACAGGGTATACATCTTTTCAGTGTAATACAATATGGGCCCGTGTCCACTGTCGAGAGTAGTGCTGTCGAGAGTGCTACTATCAATTGGACATTGCTCTGAGAGTAACTGTCAGATAGTTTGAGTTTTCTGTCGGACGGCTACTCTCTGCTAGTTTGCTATCGTGTGGACACATGGTAGCCCGCAACTGTCACATCAACTTTCAGCTATAGTAACCAGGTTCGCAGTCTGACAGTGTTCTCGAGAGGTGAAGCGTGGCGCTCTGGACTCAGGAGAAGACTTTTCAATTGATATCTGTGTATGAAGAGAATCCTAATTTGTGGGATCACAAGAGGGAAGACTACCGCAACAGAGAGAAGGAATCCCAAGTCATATCCGACATAAATAAGAAAATTTATGTCACAAAGTCTGAAATTCTTAGAAAACTCCACAATTTATGAAAACAGGTACAGTGGTCCTTCGGTTAACGAACGGTTCTGTTAACGATATTTCGGTTAACGAATTACCTTCCATAAGAATCTTCAATTCGGTTTTGTTTTGTTGTGGACTAGTCTGCCAATTCAGTAATCTGTTCTATGTTTACATTCGTTTCCAGTGGAGTAAATATCAATAACGTTGTGCTCTTTAATATTTTTGCATGTTTTATATTAAAATTATTAGTCATTTTAACATTTACTTAACAAATAGATAATATATGCAGTACAGGGAACTAGTTTGTTGTGCACCCATCAGATGCGTGAATCGGTCACAAGGCGTCAGTTGGGCTTTGAAAACAGTGGAGAGAGCATCTATTTTGTTGGTGTCTAGAATATTTTTGCATTATTTAAATTATTGGTCATTCTGAACTTAAGTTAACATATTGATAATATTTAGCACAGTGCAGTGTTGATTTAAAGAAAATAATCTTGAATTACACATAGTGAACTTAAAATTTTATTGGTGAAATTACTGCATCGAGCATGGGTCCCCTGAAAGGTGATTTATCCTCCATCCCCACTTCCTTCACTTCTCCCTTCTCCTCCACCCCCACTTCTAATTCTCATCATCATCATCATCATCAACCAGGAACCTTCTACATACACACCCCAAAATAAGTGTACTTTACTGCATTTTGTTTATACTTTGTATGTACTTTTCGGTGAGCTGGAACCAATTACCCAATATCCCATTGAAACAATGGATTCGGTTAACGAAATTTTCGGTTAACGAGCGACCTTCTGGAACAAATTGTGTTCGTTAACCGAGGGACCACTGTATGGTATTTGTTTATTCACATTATCAAAAATGTGTAAGTGACTGAAACAACAGAAATACTATAATGTAAAGCCAAAGATTTCTTTGAATACTGAACTGCTGACATACTGGTGAAATTACAGAACTGTTGAGCATTTTCTATCTGTAACTCTTTCACAAGTCTGTTGTTAGCTCCCAGTTCACCTCGTCGTTCCACCCAGTGCTTTATCCAACACCTTCTTTTCTGTTTTTACTTTTTCTTATCCAGCATCAGCATAACTATTACTGCTGCAGCAACTTTCTGCCACGTCCTCTACCGCCCATTGCTACCGACTGACTGAGAGTTACTATAGAGTGTAGCTCTAGTCAGGTGGATACACCACTGAGAGTTCTCTCTGATAGCTACTGTCGGGAAGACTCTTGACAGCTGAAACTTGCAGAAGTTTGCTCATGTGGATACACAGATGAGAGAACTATCGACAGTAACTATTGAGAGTCCGCTCTCAAGTGGAAACGGGCCTTATGATACAGTGGACCAAGAAATCTGGTGAATGCTCTTGAGATATACCAATTGTTGTTACAATGTAGCCGTGTATTCCATATGTCGAATTGCCAGTTATTCTTTATCTTTTGTTTTCTATACGGTTTAATGAGACAGTGTGCACAAAGTGTTTCATAGGTTATGAATAAAGTAGTTAGTGTGATTTCATGATTGTGATTTCTTATCATGTGATTTAATAAAGAGGTTTCCTAAGATCGTTTCATAACTCATTTAATTCTTTACAGCAGCTCATCCCCTGATGTGAAATTGTGTAGTGTGTGGCTTACAAAACATTGTAATTCATATTGTTCTTCTTCTTGGATGAGGTCTTATATATCATGTGATATTCCTTTACAGCAACTCATTCCCTGTGGTGGAAGACATTTTCTTATGTGGGTAATACAACGTGACATATAATTATATAACAGTGTGTTTTTTTAATTGAGGTCTTCTATGTACAGCTACTCCTCGACCACTCGCACATACGACCGCCCCAGTCATACCAATTTTTTTTCAAATTACGTATTTTCGAGTCCTGACGTTAGTGATTGCGATGTGTACTGACAAAATTTTCGTTTGTAATTCCCTTTAAAATGGCTGGCATGCTTAAAAGTGAGAGTTTTGTGGTGCTGAGAAGAAAAGGAGACACCCATTTTAGATTTTCTATGTATTATCTTTGCATTTTCGACTTACGACCAATTCGACTAAAGAACCTGGATTTGGGTCCCTAACCCCGCCGTAAGTCGAGGAGTGGCTGTATTATGGTTAATTTCTCTATTTTAAATATACATGATATACCATACAGGATATATCATATTTGTTACACAATGCTTCACACAATCAGAAATACCAACCCTACCAAATGAATATGATCTCAGTCACAATGATCAGTTTGAAGGCTGCCAGACCAGGGGTGAAGATCCTTTTTTGTCTTTTTTGTTGACTGTACATGTTCATAATTCTTTCTTACATATTGGATGCTGGCTTCAGGATGCTGCAGAATGGGATGGAGGTGAGATAGATAAAGGGGAAAATAAGTAGTTTACAATGGGGGGGTGAGTGATGAGAGAGAGAGAGAAAAGGGAGTGAGTGTTGAGGTGAGGTGGGGTGTTTGCTTTAAGCTGGAAAATACTTCCATATGTGCCATGGCCCCAGGCAGAGCACTGTTGTGAACAAAGGTAAATTTGGTCAATACCTAAATTATGTTCTTTAATTTTATTGAAAGTTCCCAATGAAATTGATATGGTGTCATAAATTAATCTTTTTTGTTCCTCACTCAACAACTAGTTGAGCATATCAGGAATGATTTTCAATCAATGTGTGGGCTGGCATTATAAGGAATGTTATCAGACATCTGCTACTACAGTACAGCAACTGACTGGAGTTTAATAGTGATATCTCTGTTAACTGGAACAATTGGTGCAGAGCACCTCTGGGAATTAGGGATTTCCGGGTAACGAGGCGACTCTCTCAAAGCTGAAAAAAATCCTTCATCCCCGTTTTTTTCCGGGCAACGGAAAAATATTCTTAGAAGTTCTAGAAATTGCGCATTACATAATCTCGAACCCAGAAAAATATCCCCCATCCCTGGAAGTTTCCGGCTACTGGAAAAATTTTCTCGGAATTTCCTGAAAACGATCCTGATATTCATCTCTCAAACCTGGAATAAAAATCCATCATCCCTAGAATTTTCCAGGTACTGGGAAAATTTTTTCAGATTTTTCCAGAAAATGTGCCCCTCGGAAATTGTTCCCAAAGCTGGAATTTTCCGGAAAATTCTGGCATTGGGAGATATTACTGAACGTATAGACATTTCTTTGAGCAAGTTTTGCCAATGCTACTTGAAGATGTGCATATCAGAACTTGATTAGCAATTGGTCACCAGATATTATTTGAAGGATCCTTTAAAGAGCCTAGTTTTATGCTACAAAAATCTGAGCTTGTAATGAATTGTGGCAATAAGTTCGATACAATTTGGAAATGATCCGCATTACTCTTATGTGGCATGGTGAGGCAGGCATTCGAGAAAGGAAAGAATTTTGAACATTTACTTTAATGAACCAAATTTATCTCTTTATTTGCATAAAATGTTTAAAATCTTCCTGAATTAAACTTGTCTGTTTCATGCTTTAAATCAGTTTTTCAAGTTTTTTTATGTGCTATTGCTCAAAATCTAAAGGTTTCTCAACCAATGTTTGTGTGTTCTTTTTCTTTAGTTTTGTCTCAATAATGCCCCCTAAAATTTATGAAACACATATGAGGCATCGCGAGAAGGAAGGGCGAACTAGCCAGCATGTCAACTTTCCGTTTTCTCTCTCCCCTCGCAGGCTGAAACCTGTAGAGTGAGGTGGTGGGGTGAGCCATGGCAAAAGCGACCTTCATCCCAGGTAGTATAAGGGACAAAGTTAATGCGCAATTCCTAAGCGTGGTGTAATGTCAGGTCTAGCTTACTGAGTAGAAAGGGTGAGCGCTACAACCAATCACCTTCCAGCTACCTTCCACCCGCCGCCTTCAGCACAATGAGTGTCATGCTAGCATGTGCAGTCTAACGCTTCACCCATGTGTTGTTGACACGCTGGTTTCCACCCCATTATTTCTCCTATTTTCCAAAGTTTATATTCTGTACAGGTAAACCAACTTCACACAGTCAATGGCGGCAATACCTTTTTGTATAGTACTTTTATGTGAACTCTTCGTTGTATCATTTTCATTAACATATTCCATGTATAAATTGATGGTACAGTAATTAGTGGGGGTAATTATAATTAATTTTAAAAAATAGTAAAATCAGCGCATTGCTTAATATTTCTACAGATGCCAAAAGTTTCTTTCAAACAGTAAATAATAACACCAATGTGATGAAAATTTAGTGATAATGGAGTTAATTATGCATTTTACACAAACGTAATTTTGGCGTTTTCCCCCTTCTCGTGACGCATCATTTATGAATCGCCCTGTACAGATATAGTACTGTACTGTATAGTAAAACCACTCTCGGCCACAATTTCTGTAGGGTACAATTTTTGGAGGGTTGTGGCTAAGATAGAGCAAAGAAAGAAAAAGACCAATGTTAAGGGTATGTGATCTTTTACCACTTATTAGCAGCTCTATAGTAAACGGGTCAAGCTCTACTCCTCCCCTCACCACATTTTATATATTTTGGCATACATGAAATCAACAACTGCTATCAGTTCTTGTGATGATGGTGCCTTAGAACATGAACTTTTATTAATGCTCTTAACATAATAGGCAGAAAATTATGTTGTTATGCAGTTTTAACTGTACTGTATTAGTAGCATATTGTATTTAAGCTTTATATAAATGTTAACTGTACTGCACTTGGACAGTCACATTGATTACATGCCTTGACTGATGTACCTGTATAATACTGTATTGAGGATTTGTTGTGTAATAGTGTACTGTGCACAGTACTACAATTTCTGATGACTTCAGTACAGTACAATGTTTACTTTTTTTTTATTTATACATAGAGACAGATGAATAAATGATTTTTGAAATTCATTGTTAAAGGTCAGTACAGATCCAATTCAGGGGTAGAACATTTCTTAGTACCCTTTAATTAATGATGACTTAGATAACTTAGAGATCTAAATCTGTATTTGGGACGAAATAACCCACTGAAAAACACTTTATATTGCCTCAAAATCTCACATAGAACACCAGTTGTTCTTAGAGGTCACACACACACACACACACACACACACACACACACACACACACACACACACACAGGTATGCATAATGCAAAGGCAACAATCACAATGGGGTATGCTATAACGAATCTAATTGGTTCTAGAACATTGTTCGTTATAGCATTCGTTCGTTATAGGATTAATCTGTTCCAGGCCCCCAAATACAACCACTTAACACTGAAAAATTGTAAAAATTGTAAAAAAGTGCATAAATATGCATCTAAACTCCTGAAATAAAGAATATCATTAATACTTGTAATAAAAAAATAAATACATAAATAAAAAAATAATAATAATGTTCGTTGTAGGAGTTTCGTTCGTTATAGCATTCTCAATTTTATAGGTAAAACCGTTCGTTATAGGAATATTCGTAGTAGAATCCGTTCATTATAGCATACCTATATTTAAAAAAAATAAATAAAACAGTTTTAGAATAATTTACATATAGAATACAGTACAGTATTATAGTTTTTGTTGTAAATTTTTTAAAGGTTTCAATAATATAACTCATGATTTTTCCAGCCATGGCTGTGTGTGCATGGATAGTGCTGGGAGCAGCTCTTCTGCTTGGTTCATTTGGCATCAAAGTTTGTGTGACCATTGCATTTTCTACACTGGTGTTTTGTGGAGGGTAAGTAAGTTAAAAAACTGTCTTTCCTTATACAGACTAACAGTGCTTTTTTTCCCCACTGACTTTTTTTTTTTCAATAAATAAGTACCGTATAGTACAGGTTGAACCTCCCTAATCCGGTACTCTATTGTCCGGCACCTCCCGTCGTCTGGCAAAATTTTAGTTTGCCGGATGGCCGCTAGTACCCACCGGCGCTAGTATCCATGGTTCGTCATACCCTTTGTTTACATCTGGTCCTCCTGGAGTTTGGTGTGTTCCTAGGTATTTCAAGTGTTTCTGTAATATTTCACTTGTTATTTACCCTTAGTATGCCTCCTAAACATATTTATTTTATTATTTCATTTACTGTACAGATATTTTTTTCTTCTTTACAGGTGAACATCACCAATTTATGTACAGGTACAGGTACCGTAACTATTTTGTCATTTTAAGTGCAGAATGAGAATTATTGTTTATCTATTTTCGTTTATTACAATTACACTGTACAGTAGAACGTGGATATAACACGAGATATGTTCCAAGAGAGGTCGCTTTAAATCAAATTCCCACTGAATCAAAGTGTTGTTTAAATGGAATAATTTAGTTTGGTACTTGAGAGAAACACAAAATACTAAAAAGACTGATAGTCTACCCAGATGCACCTCAGTCCATCTAGAATAAACAAAACATTGTTTTTTCGTAGTATTGTGTTAAAACTAACACTCATAAATCAACACAGCTGAAATTAAGGGATGCAAAATGGTCTGGCTGGGAAGATTGCGTGGAGGGGCGGGAGGTGAGGTGATAAGTTTAACAGTTGATGCCAAGGTCTAGTGCTTATTTATTTATCTGTCCTTAAGAGTGACTTTAAGTTTTTCTCTTATAAAATATGACTGAACTGACATGGGAGAATATAATTAACATTGCTGGAATTCTTATAAGATAGTGATTAATTTGAATACAAACATGCTATAGCTCGCATTAGACATACAAAGAGCAAATTTTTTTCTCTTGTGCAAAATATATGATGTTTATATTCAAATTATTCGCTGTCTTGCAAGGTTTCCAGAAATACAATTTATATTCTCCTAACTTTAGTCTATGACATTATATAAGATAACAAGTTTAAGCCTAAAACACCAAACCCTAGCTGGGAAGAATGGGGGAAGGGAGGGGAGGGAAGTGACATGCTTGACAGTTGGTGTCAAAGGTCTAGTGAAGTATTTATTTGTTTATTTATGTCCTTTAGATTGAGTTTATGTTTTTTACTTTTAAAATGTTACAGAAGTGACCGAGGAGAATATATTTTACATTGCTGGAATTCTTATAAGATAGTGATTGATTTGAATATAAACATGCTATAGTTTGCACTAGACAAAAATTTTAGTAATCATTTAGTACATTATTTTAAGTACATGTGCAGTACAGCTTTGCCCTTAGGACAGTGTAGCATGCCCAGAGAAACATTAGGCGCAAAATTTTAAATATAATGCGCCAGATTGGCGCATCAATAATATTATGTATTTTACAAAGACCACCTGTGGTTCGGAAAATTTTAGTGTCCGGCACCGGTCAGGTCCAAGGGGTGCTGGATTAGGGAGGTTCAACCTTTACAATGGAATATTTAAGTTATACTGTACCCTGTATATTATAATAAAACATGTATATAGGGTACAAGTAATTGTATTAAAATCACATTGTGGTTATTATTACTGTAGCATAATGTTTCATATTTTCCACAACATATTTCACCATTCTGTCATTATTAGAAACAATTTGGGTTAAAAAATAATTGAAGGGTATGCTGAGCGTACAGTGTTCTTGCCTTAGTTTTGTTTATATGCTTTAGGACCTTTTTACACTAAGCATTATTTTTTCTGGCCTTGAATGGCAACCCTCTTATTGAATAAGTCCATCTTTGTTTGTTTGTGTTGTATCATGTCTCAACAGGAATCATAACAAGATCTCAGGTGTTCTTTGGTATTACAGTAATATTTCCCTTTAAAATTCCAGAATTATGTTCAAATATGAATTTCACCATGCCTGCAAAGTCACTCTCATGAGTTTTTATACTTCTGCCACCAGCAGCTGTGGGCATTAAGTGTTTGACTGTTTACTCTGCATGCATGTATCCATCTGATGAAAGTTTTCACCAAAGCAGAAGCATTTAATTTATATACTTTTTATTTTGTGGTCTGCCAGATTTAATAAAATGGTTACAGTAGTTCCAATGAAGGTGCAGCCTTTCATGTTAATCTCCTGCAAGAATGATAAAACAACTGTCCCTGTCTTTGTTTTTATTTGCCTTTTATTCATTGTAGGAAGAGCCTCTTGTGGTAGTGATAAAAAATAATTAAGCAATTGTGAATGGGCTGTTGAGTTGGAGGTCTGGAACTACAGTACTGTACTATGACTTTTTCCACTTCAGATGCTCAGTTTACCTCAGATTTGTCCTTGTTTTTTTATGACAAAGATATCACATACAGGGTGTACTACTGTGTAAGAAGTGACTTTGATCATGTTTCTTTGAATGAGGAATTTTCAGATGAATTTTAATCCTAGATATTACGAGACAGCACCTTGAATTGAAAACACTGTAATATATGTTATTAATTAAGCAGTATTTTTCTCAATACATATGGATTTCTTATCATTGTACAGCCACAGAATCATTGAGCTACATGGTAGCATTGATCAAATAATCGCGATGTAAATGGATATATTTCATCTGAGATATTTTCATGTTTAGCTTGACATATGGCAAGTTCTAATTTTTTAAATTAATAAATTTCTGTTACTTAGCAACAATGAAAATCATTTCTGACACCTTCAATGGGTTTGTCATACCTGAAACCCTTGTGTAGACACCCAAATCACCCTTCTTTTATGTTCCTATCAATAATTGTGACTATTTTCCTGTTTGACCTAGTTTGGGCAGTGGCCATCTTGGATTTCTGTTACTTGACAACAGTGAAAATTATTTCTGACAGTTTCATTGGGTCTGCCATATCCTTCTAGCATCTCCATAGCAATAGTTATGGCCATTTTCCTGTATGACCCAATTTTTGCTGATGGCCATCTTGGATTTATGCAAATTATGGGAGTTGCTCAATGCTGGGAAAGTACCATCACCTGGATATGATATCTATATTCCCTGAGGATTACAATTCCATCATAAGACATTAGGCTACCTACAATATCTGGGTCAGCCAGATTCTACTAGACTTATGAAATTTCCTGGGCATTGTAGATGGGTGGTTGCAGTTCGATGGTGCAGCCTGATAGAAAGTGAAAACATGTGGCTAAACATACATCGGTCACACCTTCCATTGCCCCGTGATCAACATGAAAAGGTGAGTTTCTTACCTGTTTTTATAGCCTAAGCCTGTCTTAAATTACCAATGAATATGCCCATCCAGGCAGGGCTAGATCCAGACCTCAAATTCGACCAATGCAATCTTTCAGTTTTTGTAGTTGCGGCTAGCCCATACCCGTATTTTTTGGTTTAGAAGACGCACTTTTATAACAAAAATATGCCTTGAAAATTAGCATGCGTCTTCCACAACGCTAGTTGATGAGTTGTAGCAGAGGTTTTCTTAGGGTCAACTGAAATCAGTGCCTTACAAAGACTGTTACCTCATTACAGTACTTAGCAATTACAAGTATTCTCTATACTATAAAACAATTTAATTAACTAATATTGTTGATATACTGCAAAAAATACGATTACAGTATTTACTTACTCAGTAGGTAAAAAATAAACGGGTGCAGCTACACAACCCTTGCTGCTGTGAGGTTTGTTTACTAATGGCAGTGGTGCGGCAGCACCATCTATTGAGGAATTGCTAAAGGTTGTCTGATGGTCTCAAAGCGCAGGAATGTTTGTTTCTTCACACCAAAAATTTTAATTCAACTGATTTTTATCGAAATGCTTTTTTACTTTTATTTTTTATTTTTTTAAATACACTAAAGATTTTTTGTTTTCTTAGACGTTTATATATATGTTTACATTTGCTTACCTTCTACTGTTGGAAAATATTTCCCGTCGTTGTCATACCGACAAAAACTAGAAAAAATGTAAACACTACAGCCCGCTAGACACAGAGGTGACCAGGTGTATAAAATGAGTGCTGTATTAAAGATTTCCACTTCTTATACAGATTTTTTTTTAAATTGATGGAAATGACGACTGATAAGCAGTTATAAGTGATGATATTCAAAGAGGTGTGTGTACTTGTGCCAAAAGGGCTGTATATCAAGCAACTGTTTCACTGATGTCGGTTAGTAAGTATTAAAAGATTTTTTCTTAGAATTACATTTCCAAAATCAGGGTGCATCTTCCACGATGCAGCGTCTTCTAAGCCAAAAAATTTGGCTATTTCAAATAGTCTATGGACTCTACACCCCATTCCACAATGCCATATTTTTAATCAATAATTAACTAATATTTACTTTGATAAAATGGGGGGGGGGGGTTTACTGGGGGTGGGGAGGAAAGTGTACAGTACTGTATATCAGTTGGGAGAGATTGCAGTGCAGAATAATGCTTTGAGAATACTGATAGTGTTTCCTCAGTTGAGTGTAATCGTCTAGCATTAGTCAGGTGAAAATTATAAAGGTACAATTGGATGGAAGGAGGATAATATCTTGTTCTAAGTAAAATGTTCCAATGCAAAAGTAGGTATTTATGAGCAAATCGATTGTGGATGTGTTTGAATCTATATCTTGTCGAAGGAGCTAAGTTTTGTTTAGCCTCATGTGATATCTCTGGACCCAGTGGTATCAATGACTAGTATGATTATTGCTTTAGGGCGATGTTTGACAGAGGACTATTGGTCATTCTCGCCTGTTGGCATGTACCCTTTTATAAGCCCTTCATATACAACAATCACCACACCACAACAATTACACCACACCACAACAATCACCATGCCAGTGTAGTTCCTATGGTTTTATCTAGGGAGATCTTGATCCAATTTTAGATCCTTTCCTTTGGTCTCAAAGTGGTTCTTGGGGTTTTCACAAACCTTTTTGCAGTGATTTGAATTTCTTAGGGAGACAGGTATGTTCTTGTTGTCGACTGAGACAATAGTTAGCTGCAGCTGCCAGTTAGAGGGGTAGTCTACTGTTCTAGACCCCAGAAGTGGCTTACACATTAAAAAGAACTACTCAGATAATTATGATTTTAACTAGAAAATAGGGTTTTAGGGTCATCCATCCATTTACTTTATTACTTTATTACAATCTACAAAAGAAATTTGACAAAAGTGTGAATGTGGTCAAGATAGGTGTTTACAGTACAGTAAGTCCCCATTGAATGCTTTCGTTAGGTGGATTATGTTCATTGAAACCATTTTTCCCATATAAATTAATGTACTAAGCTTTGTGATAGATTAACCCTCTTGCGCATGATGACGCGATTCGCGTCACAGTTATTATAAGACCAACTTCACAGTGATCCAGATTGAGTCACTAAATTTTACAAAATTTGCCAAAAATTAAGTTTTCAAAAAAGTTTGGTCAAATTTTGATGCATCATAGTAGCAAGTAAGTTCTATCAAGTAAACTAATTGGCAACTCTCGAGGCCCATAGGAAGGGAAGACCAGAGCGATAAATGTGCAGAATTATCTCAGCAGTCAGCCGTGAGTGTGAGCCGTGTCCATTTAAATTTCCATAACTCCATGCGGGCTGCTTCAACTTCTGGATTACAGTACACAACCCTACTCCCTGAAGTAGTTACTTTTTAGTGTTTGAGAAGTGAAGTGATGGTTGTGTAATGTAATATTTTCTTCATATTTACAGGGAAGTGTTTAGTTTTCAAAAGCCGTTACCATATCAGTCTATACAACCTCATGATAGTGACAGTGTCTCGAAAAAAGTCTCTAAAAGAGGATGATTTTCTAAACTTACATGAATTTTATCAGTATCATTCTCTTTGTTGTAGTGTTGGCTACAAGATACTATATAATTTACATCGATATAAAACATAGGCAAAAAAATAATCAAATATTCACTGTGAATTGTCTCGCCTGTCCTGGGGGCCTCAGAGATGTGATCTTGGAACTGGAAAACTTAAAACAGATTTGTCAAATGTTGTTTGTGGGAATATTAATTCATTCACTCTCGTAATGATACAATGTTTGTTATTATGTTATCGTAGGAAAATGTATGGTTTATATACAGTAATTTGTTTCTCACTGAATCCATCACCATTTTCAAACTAGACTACATACAAGATACTCGTATGTATTTCTCCCATACATACGCCTGGCTATGCCTGGCAATGGAAGCTAGTAAGGGGAGTGAATGACCCCTAGTTGAGTGTCGTCTGCAGTTGTAACTCTCCTCACTCCCTGCCATGTTTCACTGGATTTACTGTTGTTATTAGTGTTTACTGATAGATTAGTGCTTAATGGTGATTAATGATGGCATTGTAGCTAATGAGCAAAGCTGTGAAGTGTTAGCTGGCTCAGTTGGGAGGGGGGAGTAGGATTCAGAGTGTACGGTGGGAGCATTGCTAGGGAGACAGATGAGGTACCTCCCAGTTGGTCTGTTATTATGATGGGGAAGCAGAGAGTGTATGCAAATGGCAACTGTTAAACTTTCATTTGGCTTTTATTTACTGGTTTAGCAATACAGTATTTTTTGTTGTACAATATTGTATCATGAATGGCAGTCATAGTAGAATGAGAGAGAGGCAGAATGGCAGTGAGATGCAGTGGTAGGGTGAGAGGGAGGAGGTGGTGGTGGTGAGTAGATGATGTGTCATTCGGTTTGTTTGGTAACACTGGCTGCAGCACTGCCAGATACAATTTGGCAGCTGATGTTTACCCACAAAATTGAGTGTAAGTGTAAATGAACAACTTCGTATTTCTTCTACATTACGTTACATAAATTTTAGATTATGGAGTGAGAATAACAAATAAACAATGTACAGTATTTTACAATATTGTACTGTAATGAATGATAGTCATACAGTGAGTGAAAGAGGCAGTGTCGATGAGAGCAGTGGGTGGGAGGGAGGAAGGTGAAATTATGATTTAGGTGCTGATAATAGAGGTAGTGGTGGTGATGGTGGTGAGAAAGGAGAAAGGTGGGGGTGACTTACCTTTCGTAATAGTAGAACATTATTTCATTAGTCAGCAAAAACTTGCTTGCGTTATAGTGAGGATTTGTTCGAAGGATTAATGTTCAATTAGAACCTACTGTATTGTGTGTGATACAGAAACATGAGATTTGAGAAAGCAAAGATTGATTAACCACTAGGAAAATATTTAATGCATTAAACAGTAGTTACAGTACAGTACTTATAAGAAAAAGATTTATTGAAAATTAAATACTGAACAAGAGGAGTAAAATAGATTACAAAGTTCATATCACAGGGTCATTTCTGGAAGAGAAGGTACACAATAGTTACTGTACACGGTTTTAAAAGCCTAATTTTTCTTTTCTTCTTTCTCATTTGTCTGTAGATTATCAGCTGTATACAACTTAGTAGTAGCAATGAGCGACAAGACCGAAGAGTGACAGGATCCAGCATTATTGATGAACAGCTTCAGGGGGTGGTGACATTAGTAGTGCGTGACTTTGTGCTTAATTGGTATAACCATCTCTCTCACCATCAAGCCTTCATTTGTCAACTGCATCGCACTGTACAGCATTCCATGATTGTCCTTGCAAATAGGTAAGTAGCCTTGCATCTGCCAATGTTTTTTTATTTAATAAAATACAATATAACTCTAGACTGTAGTAGATAAATAGTTTCTATTTTATATGGAAACGTGCTTGAAAAAATAAATTGCCCTGTCTGTAAGACTAGTACTTCTCTGGCTATCATTCTTAGGCCAGGTAGCTTTAGTTACGTAGAATGATTTACTAGGTTGCGGGGTTAGTGTCCTTAGACAGAATCTCAAAAGATAATTGACTGTGTTCAGTTATTAAATTTCTTGTGAAACAGCCTATGTACGTTTCACAAGCAGTCCTGAACAGATCAAATTGTGGGGATAAGGTTCTTGGTTGTAAGGTAATTTTATGTGGGAGGTTTCACAGTTTAACAGGTGTGGTTTCTTCTGTAATTGATAGTGAGATTTCCTAGATTCATGATATAAGTGCTTCAGTAAGTGTTGTATGGGACATTACATTTCTTTTTTTGTGAAGCACCTTTGACTTCTTTATACTTGTCTAATTAATTTGTTGGTTATTTCTTGGGATTCACTAAAGAAGATATGTTCTGTGTCTAGAATTTTAGTGTAATCATCTCATTTAGAATTTCTGAAGCTTATGTTGACTGTTATGAATAATTTTGATGTAGCTCATTTCCTGACAGTCTGGGGGAATCCTCATGTACATGTACTGTACAGTAGCTAAAACAGCTATCTGTGCAGGTGGGGGTCGATATGCTCCAAAATTTTACGTGTGACTAGTGACAGCCCTCATATACCAAAATTTATCATCCACGGTTCTCATATTGTTTCCCCTAATGTATGCACAGATAGTTGTTTTAGCTACTGTACATAGTAGGTATCGTTTTTGAAGCAGTCCTGTGCATTCCTTAGGCTTTCTTATCCTTCCTCAGTTTCAGAAATTGTGGTTATGTATTTTCTCATCTGGGCTTGTTAAATTAAAAGACTATTATCGAACACAATAACTTCTTATAAATGAGCTTTTGCTAAATTTGTTAAAGTGACTCTTCCTATAAACTTGAGAGGACTCATGGGTGTAAGGTTCTTTCATTTCCTTTTGAACCAATATTAAAGTTTTTATTCTTATGATATACCATTTTATAAACCAGGGACTGCCTGTGAAATGTTTATTCTCATCCAGTGTCAAATTCTTCATCATAATTTCACTTATTGATTTGTATGTCAGCCTCCTTTTTATGAAAAATAATTACCCATCTTAGCATTTACTTTAAATTCTCTTCCAGTTCCCTACCACTTCATACATTCTGTCAAAGTTAATTGCTAACTTTTATCAGTTCCTTTCTCTTTAGCACTTCATCATCAATGTAGAGATAATATTAGCAGTATCTACACCTTCTATTCCTTTTATCTTCAGTTCTCTTATTACTTGTGTTGAAGAACCACTGGGATGCCACACATCACTGCCTCCCCCCTATTTTTACTTCAGAGCTTTCATTTAGCCTGCTATTTACTCTCATATGTTCTTATTATTGAAAAATGCCTTGAATATATCAAGAAGCTTTCCTGTTTTATAATTACTGTACAGGGTACTAATGATCTTCCACAACACCTCTTGTTCTACCCTTTTGTACACCTCCAGGGCCAGTATGCACAAAACTTTTAAGTGCTAGCAAACAGTTGTTAAGGCTGACATTTTCCTGTTAAGCACTAATAGTACATACACAAAACTTTTAAGGGCCTTAATAGTACTGTTAAGTTAAAGAACCTCGTGAGCACTTTTAAATCCTGTAATAGTCGTCTGTTAGTTGATACCATGGCGAACCAACAGCAGCATCAGCGGCGGCAACGCATTTAACGGAAAAGAAGATATATATTTAATGAATATAGTGTGTATATATTAAATATAGTGTGAATATATTGTGTGTATTCCGTCTTTATAGCGTAGGTCTTCTTTCTTGACTTCGACAATACTGAGAATCAGCGTGTCTCACACTCTGCCTCTGAAGATGTCTTGAATAAAGACGAAAGCTAAGGTGCTCCGTTGTTTCCCTTTTCCTGTGTGATTTTATCAAGATTTATCTTATCCACGTTTTCATTGTGGATTTACATGAAATATATATATATATATATATATATATATGTATATATTTTATATATATACAGGTGCTCCCCGACGTACGACGGGGTTAGGGACCCAAATCCAGGTCTTAAGTCCGACATAGAAAAAAAAAATCAATTTTTTTTAAATAAAAAATCTACAATGAAATACAGTACAGTAAAAGCAATAAATAATGAGGAATGGATACAGTACAGTGAAAGTAATAAATAATGAGGAATGGATGCAGTGTGACTGAGCACTTACCTTTAATGTAGTCAGCTGAATGCACATGGGGCCCCCATACAATAGTACCCCGATTTAAGCGGTCAATTGAACCTTTGGGTACCGCTTAAAGTGAAAACCGCGTAAAGTGAACAACAGTACATATGGGATTAATTCCAATAGAGACTGGCCCGACCCCCAAACTCCACTTTTTCAGACACAATACCTACGTTGTAGTAAAAATTACATCTTAATTTTATGATGGTATGCAAACACAATTAATAATTAAGAGAAATATCAATAATATTAGTTTTTTTAACACTTACATTAATAGAAAAGATGGCTGGACACACAGGGATGGGGGTTGGTTCCGAGGCAGAGGGCAGATTATTGGCCCTCACTTGTATCACTTGTATCAATTGTATCACTATCCACCACATAGGCTTGCAGGGCCTCTTTGTCAAACCCCTCAAAGTCCATATAAGTCCATATCCTCACTATCACTATCACTGACTTGGGCCGGCTGTGGTGGGTGGCGGGTGAAGAACTCGGTAATGTTTTGATGACTGGGCGACCTTGTGCGCATCCTGCCCGCGCCACTTCCCGCGAATATGAGTAGATGCACCACGTAAAGTGAAAGTCCGGTTCTGGCGAGGTACCGCGTAAATGCGAAATCGCGGAAAGTGAAACCGCGTAAAGCGGGGTATTATTGTAATTTTCTAATTATACATGGAGACTACATTAACTGGAAACGTTTCGGTATAGAAAATGCGTGCGTCATTTGAAGAAAAAAAATGAAAAAAAAAAGTGGTCACAACTGTGGCGGTCGTAAGTCCCGACAGTCGTAAGTCCAAGCAGTCATAAGTCGGGGACTACCTGTATATATATATATACAGTGGGGTATGTTATAGCGAATGGATTCTACTACGAATATTCCTATAACGAACGGTTTTACCTGTAAAATTGAGAATGCTATAACGAACAAAACTCCTACAACGAACAGTATTTTTTTTTTTTTTTACTAATTTATTGTTTTTTATTACAAGTATTAATGATATATTCTTTATTTCAGGAGTTTAGATGCATATTTATGCACTTTTTTACAATTTTTACAATTTTATATTATATTTTTCAGTATTAAGTGGTTGTATTTGGGGGCCTGGAACGGATTAATCCTATAACGAATGAATGCTATAACGAACAAGGTTCTAGAACCAATTTGATTCGTTATAGCATACCCCACTGTGTGTGTATATATATATATATATATATATATATATATATATATATATATATATATATATATATATATATATATATATATATATATATATATATATATATATATATATATATATATATATATATATATATATATATATATATATATATATATATATATATATATATATATATATATATATATATATATATATATATATATATATATATACATATATACACACACACACACACACACACACACACTTAATAAATACTATCTGTCAATCAAAATACCCCACCTCCCCCCCTCTTCCCACCTGCTCCCTGGGTCCCTCCCTCCCTCCCTACCCCTCACCCCCACCTTCCCTCCCTACCAGAGAAATGATTGGGTTATAACAGTATATTTACATTTTTAGTAATAAATAATACCTCAGACTAAAGTTAGGATAATATAATTGACATTGCTGGATTCCTTGCAAGACCAGGAATATTTTGAATATACACATCATATATTTTGCACAAAAGATAACATATTTGCTCTGAGTAAACCAAATACTTGCATTAGATCTAAAATTTGTATGTCTAATGCAAAATCTATGATGCTTATATTCAAAATGATCATCAAATTGTAAGAATTCCAGCAATGTAAATTATATTCTGGCCGGATAATTTGTATTAATTTTATGAGCTAAATAAAAAAATTATACTTCACCCGCGTATATGAGTAGATGCACCGCGTAAAAGCGTAAAGTGGGAATTCCGGTTCTGGCAGGGTACCGCGTAAATGTAGAAACGCGTAAAGTGAAACCAAGGTTCACTGTATTTATATAATTTTTTATTTTTTTTCATGTAGATCCCTCTTCTCATGTTTGTTCACAAAATTTTTCGGGCTTCTGCCCTGGGTTTTCTAATTACTCTCAGCATGTAGGCCAGAGTTAAGTTTTCTCTTCATAACTCTATTTTATTCATGTCCTCAGTAGCGGGTTCAGCCTTTCCAGGCGAACTTTAGCGAGGCTGCTAGCCTTAGTGATCATTCCAGAAGCTGACCTTCCGGTCTTACTGGCAATCTAGAGTTATGTTGGGATGGACCTTGTATCCTCAGTATGGGTTATATGAGAATCATTCAGAGTGGAATTCTCAACCCAATACCTGTACATCTTGCTAGCATAATGGTGAACGATGTTAGCCAATGGAGCGCTATGGTAGCAGCTCAGCACTGTCAACCCTTCCGGGTGATGATGCTCATTCAGGCATTATTGCTCAAGCTAATTAATTGAAGCGATGATGTCTGTGCACCCTGATTGGCAACAAATAGAGAACTTGATGATCCCTCAAAATATAAATGCTCTAAATGAAGTTAGTTTGATTAAGAAACAAAGTTCATTGAGCTGAGGGATAATTGAGATAAGAGAAGGGAGAGGTGTATGATATAGTGAGTTAGTTGTTAATGATTGTCACACTGGTGACTTATATAGCAATAAGAGATAGTAATTAAATAACTTACTAAAGTATCAGTTAAGAGTTATATTGATTATATTTGGGAGACAATGTAATCTCCCTTGTATTATTATGATGATACAATGTGACTCATAGTGTTCCTCCTAGTTTAGATGAGTGATGTGCAACTGGAGGATGAAGGACAGTTGTCTGGACTGCTAGATGATGGAGGAGACCATGGAACTGTCCCTGGGGAACTAGTGTTGAGTGAGTAGTTACAAGGACTGGAAAGTTCAGCTCATACACTACATACAAGGAAATGTCCGTCAGTAGAGGATGTGAATTCAGTAATAGTAGTTTCACCCAGGACCCAAGGGGACCATACTACATGTACAATAATTATCAAGGATGTAGAGCCACTTGGATTACCAAGTTAGATCCTCATTTGGCTTGCATAATTCATAGCAGCTGGGTCTCAGACAACCTGTTTTCACCATTGAATTGTGCAGTTTGTTATGATCAAATTTTTGTAATTAATCAAGCTGCAGGAGATAAGAAAGAATTATTGCAGATCAAAATTAAAAATAGATGGAATAAGGCCTTGAAGTGTAAATTTCTAAATGTAAAACGCTGGAAAAATCCCAAGTTGGCAGAAAGTTTAGAAGTTTGGGTGATAGGTAACAGACTTAATCCCCAATTAGACCAACCTGCTTCTGGTAAGAAAAGTAGGTAATTGGATATTCTAGGTAATGAGGCAGTAAGAAGATAACAAGAAACTCTACCTAGTCAGTCTGATTTTAGTGGATTCCAGGATCAGGATGAGGAAGTTGGCTCTAATCATAGTGTTCAGTCTCTAGAGCAGGGAGAACCTGTTGAGTCGGACTTCATCCTGTCCCCATTTTGGCAACCACTTCCACCTGGGGCAAAAGTGTTGGTTACTATGAGTGGAAACAGGCTGCTGTCGACTGCCACGCAGCTGATGGATAACATTGAGTGTAAGGATGATCCAAACAGGCCTTCGGTAACATTGGTAAGATCTAAGTCTTCTTTGTTTTTGACCACATCCGAGTCTGTGGATTCCTTATTAAAGGTATTTTATAAAAATGTTTCTAAACAAGTTTTAAGATGCCTATTATCAAGTGCCTGTTGCTCCCAGGTACAGAAGGCTTCTAGTGTTCGCAGTGGAGGATGTAAGTTATCAATTCACAGTGATGCCATTCGGCCTGACAATTGCGCCAAAAGTGTTTACAAAACTGGCAAACATCCCCAGAGAGATCCATGCAAAGGAAGGCATAAGAACTTTTGCTTATCTAGACGATTGGCTGATAGTGGGAAACTCTTTTGAAGATTGTCAAAGGGCGACCCAATGTACACTAGTACTATTTCAAAACCTAGGATTAAAGATAAACCAGGTCCAATCAAATCTCATACCATGTCAGAAATTGGTTTGGTTAGGTCTCCATTGGGATACCAATCAGCATTCAGTCAGTCTACCAGAAGCAAAAGTAACAGATGTGATAAACCAAGTAGAAGCCATCTGTGTAAAGCACGAGGTTTCTTGGCACCATTGAAAAAAATAAATACTGGGTCTGTTGAATTTTGCCACCATAGTGGTTCCTTTGGGCACGTTAAGGAAGAAGCAACTAACTCATCTGGGGTCGAAATTGCTTCACAGAAACAGAAATATTGCTTTTTCTCTCCCTGTTCAGATCAAGAATCATCTGTCATGGTGGACAAATTTGGACAATCTAATCGGTTCATCTCACTGGGTTCCCCCTCAAATAGACTTGGTCGTTTGTACGGACTTGTCCGAAATAGGATGAGGATGCCATTCCTCAAAAGGAGAGTACCGTCAAGGGAAGTGGAGCAACTCCCTTTGGGACAAACACATAAATGTAAAAGAATTAGCAGTGGTCCTATTCTTTTTGTTGGCAAACCCAAATTTAAAAAACATGACGATTCTGTTTGCCATGGACAACAGAGCGGCAGTGTTTTGTCTCAATCATCAAGGCTCCAACCAGATCTTGGCCTCTTCTAAAACTAAAAAAAAAATAAAATAAAAAAATTCAAAGTTTGTGTAACACAAACACTTTACCTCAAAGTAACTCACATACTGAGAGTACAACAATTGGGCAGATGCCTTGTCCTATTTCAGGCCACTATCGACGGAAATAGAATGGTCCCTAAAGATATCAAAGTTCAAGAGTCTAGTGAAGAAGTTTGGGACTCCACAAATAGATCTCTTTGCCTCACAAAACAATCACAAGATGCCAACTTAAGCATCTCTAGAGCGATCGAATCTTTTAGGAAATGCTCTACTCATAGATTGGAACAGTTGAAATTCAATCTATCTGTTCCCACCTGTGAAAATGTTGCCCAAAGTGGTTCACAAACTCAGATCCTTCCAAGGACAGGTCCTCTTAATTGCACCATATTAGATCCTACAACCATGGTGCCTGGATCTGCTGGACTGGTGCCTGCATCCACTACAATTGCAGCAAGGATGTCTAGACCAGGTACTGCACCCTCAGTTCGAGATATCCTTGTCACTTCAAGCTTGGAGTTTCTCAAAAGATGTTTAAATAGATTGTTGGGTAATTTCGATATAGTTAACCAAGTGATAGCAGGTCATAGACCCCAAACTTCTTTGCAATATGAGAAAACTTGGAAATCTTTTCAGCAATTTATCAGGTTAACGACTCCAAACACATTGTCGGAAATGGTGGTGATAGAATTTTTTTATTTTCTGCTCAGAATTAAAGGCCTTCAAGGATCAACAATTGCATCTTATAAATCAGCATTGGTTGACCCTCTTGCATGGGGTATTAATATTACTTTGAACCCAAGAATTTATCAAATGCTCAGATCGTCCTTTTTCATTCAGAGACCCCCTCAGCCAATATCCCACCTTGGTCTCTAGATAAAGTTACTAAATTTCTTATGGGGCCTAATTACAATATAAATCTGAACAAGGACAGATTGCTCCAGAAGGCAGCCTTCCTTCTAGCAATAGCAACAGGTATGAGAATCAGTGAGCTGATTTCAATTTCCAATACTTGTAATCCATCATTATTGGTATTTTCTGAGGAAGATGTCACCATTTTTTCTACGGAGCTCCTAAGAAAAAATGAAAGGGAGGATTTTCAAGCTCAACCTATCAGGATAAAACTGCTAATGGATGAGACAAGGGTTCCTCATATTTTGTGACCAGTTAGGGATCTTCAAGAATGGTTAACCAGATTCCCTAATCGAGGCCCCTATGTATTCTCATCACAGGATGGTAAGAAATTGTCTCGGTTATTGAGTAAAGCAGACCCTGGCAAGAAATTTTTGGCACATGACACCAGGAAATATGCAGGGTCTGTGGCCTCTCTGCAGCATATGAGCCTCAGTCAGATCAAAGAAGTGGACTTTTGGAAATCTTAAAAAAACTTTCAAAACAGCTATCTTCATCTATCTCTGGAAGCTGCTTCACATGTGGTGGTGCTGGGGTCCCCTCCCCCACCTAGTTAATCTCCACGACCAGGACCTTCTTCTTCCTCATCAGAGTAAAGTGAGTATCCTAATTGGGATATGTAAATTAACATTTTACCTTCCGGTAAATGTTCCTAATACTGTATTGGAAAATATTCCCCCAAAAAGTTTATAATTATTATCTGGACCTAAGCTAGCAGAGCCTTATATGCAATGTCACCTCCCACTCCACCTCCTGCTCGTGTAATTAAAGCTAGACGTCGCATTCTGAATTGAACAAAAAGCCGTTTTTTTCCTTAAAAAAACGGTTTTTGTGATATACAGTTCAGAATGCAACGTCGACATCCCACCCATCTCCACTACTCGAGAGTTGACATTTGTTTACTGCTCACTCTAGGGCAAGAGATGACAGTAGCAATGTGTGTGATGGAGGGTGCAGGAGGGGGTTTTGAGAATTGCAATTAAATGCCAGGTAGTGACGTGTCCTCCAAATATTACGTATTAGGTGATTATTAGATGTTTTAATTGCCTGTATGTTGGCCTGGCGAGTTATTGCTAGGCATTAACATACCTAGGTTAAAGCTAGACATTGCATTCTGGAATATACGTATCACAAAAACTGGTTTTTAGAAAAAAATTGCTTTTTCAAGTGAAAAAAGATGATGGGTGGTTAACGAAACGAGAGCGATGCTGTGTATCACCATAACATAGAATTGGGACCTTGAAAGATTTGTGATTTTTACAACTAATAAATCGCGAATATCGCGTTTATTTTTGGAATGTGCCGCTTACTTCGAGTATATTCTTTAGTTACTCAATGAGATCTACTAAATGGTAAGAATTTTTTTTTAAAAAGATAATGAGTTGATAACGAAAAATAACCCTCTCTTTTTGTCTTTATTATTCAGGAAAGCCTTCAAGCGGCCATTCAATATTAACTTTTTCTCTTCAATGGCATCCACCAATAACAAAGTCTGGTCTGCTGTCCAGTTGGGCTTCCTTCTCTTTCGTTGGGTTGAAACTTCCTTTTCCTTAATAACATGTTTGTTTACAAACAGCACTGCAAGGAGAAGCCACCGATTACTATCCTTGGTTAATAAATCCTCCTTCAAACTGCATAGATTAGCTTTTTTTTTTTCTTATCAAAATGTATATAAATGTAAATATTGAAATTAATCTTCATAATTTTATTGAGGTTATTCAGCCATACTATCATTTCATATGATGAATTCCTGCTATCTTTAGCGGTGTTTAGCGATACTTAACAAACAACTATTTGTGTGGTAAAAGTTTGCTAGTTAAGCTTTGTGTATAACTTTTAAATTTTACTGTCCAGCTAACAGTACTATTATGTCATTAGCATAAAAGTTTTGTGTATACAGGCCCTGATCCATATGTTCTGTGTACACTACAGTTTTCTTTTTCAATGTACAGTTGTTTTAGTTTTTCTAAGGAGATTTATACCTGGCTAATAAATTCATTTTCTCCTCAGGTGTAAAAATATGGATTGGGTTGGATATCTCACTACCCGACTTGTTGATGACATTGCATGTCACCTACGATTGTTTCGAGAAGCTAGATCAGCTGCACGTGGGAAGGCCTCTAGTGAAGAGTTGATTGACCATTTCTTTGCGAGGGAGGCAGAAAAAGAAAAAGATATATGTCGTGATGAAGTATGCTTGAAGCCGGATGCAGAGAAAGGTGGTTTGTCACATTCATTAGACTTTGTAGATATTCATATGTTGTATTTGGAATGAATATTTCATAGAATACACTACTTGATTAAAATGAAAGTTAGATTTTAACTCAATGATTTTGCCCACTTGGTTCGTAACAGCATATTACTCTATATTTTTTTGCAATCCAATGTAAGCAAATTTCACAATCAGTCCAGATGAAGACCTTGTCATGGCACTCAATAGTACCCATCAAATAGGTAGCCAACCAGATCCCTAGCTCTGTTGCTGTTAATTCAAATTGAGGTAAGGTTTTTCTTAAACCTTACCTCAATTTGGAGCTACCCTTTCTTTGGACATGATCAGACTACACTGTGCTCCTGCAACATAGTGTGTTATGACTCCACAAGCCTTCGCAGAGGCATCACAAAATATGTGCAGTTAACCTTTACGGTATCTTTATTGTCATCATTATTATCAAATCATCATTTGATGTCTCGTAATCTTAGATAATCCTGACCTATGATATTCCTCATCTCATCAGAATGTGTACTCCATCTCTATAGGGGCATATTTGCCTTTTGGCATTCATTAATTGCAATATGGTAAATTTTAGTAACCTGCTCTGTGTCAGTACTTCCCTCTAAATTATCCATATAAAAGGCTTGTTCTGTTTCTGAACATTTGGCATTATCAAATGATACTGCGGTGTGAAAAGTGGTCCCATAGGCATGACCGCTGCCAGTTAGGGACAGTGTGGATACAGCACATTGTGTACTAAGCCTTTAGTAAAGAAGGAGGCAGCATGGCCGGTACTGCTCTTGACTGCATTCACTTCCCCAAGTTGTAAACTTAGGCTCCCATTTACAGCTGGGTGAACTGGGAGTGCCCAGGAATCAGACAATCGGCCCCTGAAACAGGAGGCGAGTGCTGTACCACTCGACTGCCTTGCGCCATACTGCAGTGTACTACATAATAAAAAGGGACTACTGTAGAATATGATCTGAAGTGAAGTGACTTAAAATGATTAGTAGCCAAAGGACTACATATATAACTTTTATGGATCTTCAGGCCACAGAAATCTAGTAAAATCTCAATCCTGTTCATGAAGTTCCACCCTGAGAAAAGTTTTAGAGATGTCAACCACATGCCGTATATACTTGAATATACTGTAGCTTGAGCTTTTATGATTGAATTTTTATGCAGAAAGTAGAGAATTAAACTGTATGCATAATATGTTTGAGGGGTTAAAATTCGTGCATTTCTGTGGGTCTTTTACGGTGAATGATAGCTACCCAGTACATGCACACAGTATGCTAACCTTATCAGTAAGCTCCTTTAACCTGGGCTTGCCTTCTGTACCCCTAGATTCTCTCATTATGTTGCTACACAAAGAGCAGGTCTTCATTTACTGAAGAAGAATGCCACTTTAAATCTACAAAACATGATTTAAATGAAGAGTTTTGTCTGCGACTCTTTACCATCATAGTGGCATGTTGCCAAGTTAGACTCATCACTGTGTAATGTAGCCACATTCCCCTAGCCCTCTCCTTACCAGGCCTAGGTGTGAAGTATGTTATGGTTATTTTTCAACTCATAGTTTCAGGTAGATACAGGTATCCCTCGTTTAGTGATCAGGATGTGTTCCTGAAAATCGATCACTAATTGAAATGATCAATAGATGAGGGGAAAACGAGAAATAATATCCTAAACAAGGAATAATATCCAGGGAGATAGCATGTAATTGTGTAGCCAAGTCGTCACCCAGATGCTAACAGAACAGGTGAAGCTGAGCTGTGAGCTGTTATTGCTCACTTAATAGTTTCTGGCAGATTTTATATGTAATATTCTTAATTTTCTTTTGCTGTTACATGCCCATATAATCATTCATACAGAATGTGCCCCAAAAATTATCATAAGGTCAACAACATAGAAGTAATACAGGCAGTCCCTGACTTACAACGGGGTTAGGGACCCAAATCCAGGTTGTAAGTCGAATTGGTCGTAAGTCGAAAATGCGAAAATAATACATAGAAAATCTAAAATGGGTGTCTCTTTTTCTTCTCAGCACCACAAAACTCTCACTTTTAAGCTTGCCAGCCATTTTAAATGGAATTACAAATGAAAAATTTTTCAGTACACAGCGCAATCACTAACATTGGGACTCGAAAATACATAATTTGAAAAAAATTTGGTACGACTGCAGCGGTTGTATGTCCTGGTGGTCGAAGGTCTAGTAGGTCGTTAGTCGAGGAGTACCTGTATATATTTCTTATGTGCTCAGCAGTTAGCCTACAGAATGAGGGAGGGGGAGTGGAAAGGAGAGGAGGGAGTGGCATGGGGGGGGGGGGATCTCAGCTGTTTTCTATTATTTTTATTTCTACATATTATTATTTTTAATTATTCCTCGCATATACTGGTAAAGTATTCATGCAACACAGTTCATCTGGGCAGTCACCAAGCTGACTGAAGACTAAAGAGATGTGTGTGGCTGCTGCCTGTATGTTGTCATGCCACATAGGGGGGAGGGAGAGTGCTGCTGGCCACAGTTACAGTTCACTGCCTCAATACAGGTGTTCACTTCCCACACATACACACCCATGCTCTTAGTTTTTCTTATTACAGTCATGCGCCGGTTAACGTCCTAGATACCTTTCTTGGAAACGTGACATTAACCGAAATGGACGTTGTCCGATCATCACATAAACTTTGTCTTTATACTTATTTGTATGTGGAGTACTATATACGTACATATACACTCTTACTCTTAAATCACTACTGTAATGTGATACAAGTGATTAATTTTTATCTCTTGTGCAAAATACATGACATTTATATTAAAATTATTCACTGTCTTACTAGGATTCCAGCTATGCTGGGCAGATGGGGGAGAGGGAGGGAGGAAGGGAGGGAGCATGGGGGGAAGGGTAGCGGGAGGTGAGGTGGTACATTTGACAGTTGGCACCGGCCCAAGGTCTAAGCATGTTTATTTATCAATTCTTAAGTGACTAAGCCTCTCTCTTATAAAAAGCCAGTGAAATGACCTGGGTGAATATAATTTACATTGCTGGGATTCTTGTAAGATGGTGATTAATTTAAATATAAACAACCTATAATTTGCACTAGACATAACAATTTTAGTACCGTAATCAAATTAGTACATGTGCACTCCAGCTTTGCACTTAGGTCATTTATTTCTTTTACGTTTCTTTTAGTATGGTGTGTGCATGTAAATGGGTGAAAATAAGTGAAGAAATTTATGTAAATCTACCCAAAAATACAGTTGAAAAACTTTATATTATAAAATGTACTACAGTACTGTACTGTACACTAATGTACTACAATTTTTTTCTCTTGAACAAAATATATGACGTTTATATTGAAATTAATCTCTGTCTTGCAAGGATTTCAGCAATGCAAATTATATTCTCCTATAGTCTGAGATATTATATGAAAAACTTAAGGCCTAAAAACCCCCACGCGAGGGAGTGTGGGGGGGGGGAGGGGAGCGGAGCGGGAGGTGAGGCAATATGATTTGACAGTTGGCGCTGAAGGCCTGGGTGTTTATTTATCATTACTTAAGAGTGACTAAGCTCTTCTCATAATTTGCCACCCAAACGACCTAGGTGAATATAACTTACATTGCTGGGATTCTTGTAAGATAGTGATTTATTTGAATACCTGTATAAACAAGCTATATTTGCAATAGACATAACAATTTTAGTACCGTAATCATTTAGTACATGTACAGTACAGGTTTGCACTTAGGTCCATTGTTAACCGAGGGGCCACTATATTGCAGTGTACTTGTACTGTACAATATTGACTAAATTCACTGGATAACGTACACAACTAATGGTTGGTAAAACTTGTCAAGTGAGTGTCAAGTCTGTCAGTATGAGTGGCATGTGCGAGTGCTTGTGTCCCCCATCATAGGAGTCTGTTTTCTCTCGCTTCAGGATGCCTGAGTCCTCCGTTTTCTCTCAATCTTAGAGTGCACCAGAGACTTCGTTATTCCTTAGTAATGACACAGAATTTGAAATTGCAACCCCAATTGCAACTGGGGTTGCAATTGTTGAGGCAACTAGATATGTCTGATTACAGCAAATGTGTTATTGTCAATTTGTAGGTGAAAGATTTTATCCTCAATAGATGTAGGTTAACATTACACCTGGAGGCAAATGCTTACTAAAGCCTAAGGAAGGAAGGATATTCCTTTAATACATAATATCTGGCCAGTATGGGGAGGATCATCGTGTCTCCGTCAGGGGGTCGTGGAGTGGTGGTCCAGCAGGCGTCACGGAAGTGTTGTGGTTTTTTTTGGGGGGGGTCACGGACGTATTTGCGATCGGACGTTGTTCAGTTGGACGTTAACCGGCGCATGACTGTATATAGTTTTATAGTACAGTATAACGTCGATTTAGAGCGATTCAATTTAAAATTATTGAGTTAAAGTGACACCCACAATTAAGGACAATATATTAATTTAAAGCAAATCTTTCCTATTTTATGTGAGTCAGTCTATCGCATCATATGGAAATTCACACTATTTTAAATTTTGCGCCTAATGTTTCCCGCTAGACGCGTTTCTGGGCAGGCTACGCGGCTGCCCGCTACCCTCCCACATCCACAGTTCTTGTACTGACGCTCTACTGAACGGACATATTGTGTAACACTATCTTCTTCTACCACGTGTATCAACCATCACCACTATGTCCAAGAGGCCAGCTACTACATTAACTACCCCAAAGGCCAAGAAATCAAGGCAAGCAATTACACTGGAGCAGAAAATCAAGGTGCTGGAAGCACTGTAGCAAGAAAATGGTGCTTCAAGTGTGAGGCTCCAATTTGGACAGTGATGGGGATGATGAGCTGGTGGAGTTAGGCTCTGCATCTTCATAGGATGAATTGCCTAACTAAAGTTGAGTGAAAATCTATTTTTGATAGCAAAAAGTCATTAAAAAATAAGTTGACAGGAAAGTGAAAGTGCTTGGTGAGTCAGACGAGAGGCAGGTGGTGCGCGGTGCCAGTGCGACCACCCTCTCACATCAGCTGATCGCTAGTAAACAGTCCTTTTCGCATCCCTTAATTTTAGCTGTGTTGATTTATGAGTGTGTGTTTTAACATAATACTACAAAAAACAATGTTTTGTTTATTCTTGGAGATGGGCTGAGGTGCATCTGGGTAGACTCTCAGTCTTTTTAGTATTTTGTGTCTCTCTCAAGTACCAAATTAAATTATTCCATTGAAACAACACTTCTATTTAGTGCGAATTCGGTTTAAAATGACCTCTCTTGGAACGTATCTCGTGTTATATCAACGTTCTACTGTGTAATGTATGTTATAAAACTATAAAATACTGTACTTTACTATATAATAGTATACAGTACATTTTGACATTATTCGACAGTTTCCAAATTTTTGTGTTCGATTATTCATTAATTTTCTGTTCAGTTTTTGTATGATCCGAGGATTGTTCCTCATTATTCCAACCAACTGTGCAAACAAATATTTTTTAAATGTACAAACAGTGATAGTAATAAAGTAAATAATGCAGTGATAATTAAATATATTACTTACATTGCGAGGTGAACTGATATATAGATGATATTCCCACACATACACATTCATTTAACGACTGATGCATCTGTGCATCTAGAAGGTTCCTGTGTACATACAAAAGGGAAGCAAGTTATCACAAGTATTTTCATTCAATGTGTATTTCAGTATACCTGGCATACCCTGATAACCAATGCTCATCTCCTGATCCCAGAATCCCAGGTATCAACTAAACTTGTGGGGTATTTTCCCTATATGTAATCGTTGATTATGTGAATCGGCGGTTATTGGGGCATTGGTTTTTGGGGTATACCTGTAGAGGCAAAATAACAACTGAAAGGATGCAGTGATTTTAGAACGTTAGCTGTTTACACATGTAACCACTGCTTGACAGACTGTTCACCTTTTTATGCACAGTGAATTAATGAGATATTGTGAAATATAAGGATAAAAGATTCCCTTTGGATACTGTGCATGTAAATTAAGGATATGAGCAAGTATGTATGGATATTTCTCCCTGTTGTTTTATCCCTTTCCAGTCATTTTAGATATGTCCTGCACTGCTCTCCTCCAACATTCACCACTTTCTTTGAGGTTTCTATACCCCTTAATCTGCCCCACTTGAAAGTGGGAGAAAAGTAATGATATTTAATATAGACAACTAATTCTTGACAAATTCAGTTAAAATATGGACTATTTAATACAGTAAGTCCTCGCTTAATGTTGTCCCGCATAACGTTGTTTCAGTACTATGTCACTAAACTTTAGAGACCAAAAGTTCGTTTAACGTCCCGGTGATCTGATACTACGTCATTTTGTGTCGTCACAGACTACAGTTTATGGTGCATCACCCTCTCTTGTCTGGCCGCGCTATGCTCTTTCAGTTTGACGTAGAGTCTCAGTGAGTCACTACCCTCCTTTGCTCCCACCTTCCTCCTCCGCTCCTGCCATACTCCTCCCCTTCCGCCATCCGCTTCCTCTGCTTCACTACCCACCACACACTCGCTCTACCACCTCCGCCCATCGGTGAGTACCACCACAAACTTAGTAGTTGTATATGTATGCATTATTTTCCATAGAAATCACAATGATTTTTTGTTTATGTAATGTATTTCATGGGGCCAAGGGAGGTTCAGGAATGTAACTCATGTATTTTATCTATTTCTTATGGGGAAAATTGATCCGCTTAACGTTGTTTCGTATAACGTCGCATTTTTAGGAATGTAACCTGAACGTTAGCGAGGACTTACTGTACTGTATTTGGTAATCCTTTACTAATGATGGTTTCTTTATTCTTAATCTTATTCAGATTTTGCATTTTATGCTTTTCTATCTGTACTGTCCAACAGCATTTAGTTGACATATGTTAACCTTTCAGTGTAGGCTGAATCAATGCCGATATAATTTATTCATACATTTAGAGAAATAACATTGATGACGTTAGAATTAAACAACTAATTGAAACCTTCTCTCAACAGATTATTTAAGTGACTTAGTGGAGACCATTCTGTACTATATTCTACCCCCTGAAGACTTCTCGAATGCCCCTTTATGTGCTGCTGTTGTGGAGATCCTGGTATCATCTGTCATCATGCCTGTTGTTTCCCTCATCTCTGACCCAGACTATATCAATACTCTTATTATATGGGCTGTAAGTGCAATACCTGAACTCTTATTATATGGGTTGTAACTGCAATACATGTATCCTTTCAGTTAAGGAAGCTCGAGTTACAGAAATTTGTGTTAATGGAATCAGAAATGTATGGATTGAGTTTTGAGATACTGTACAGTTAAAAAAGTCTCCTAGCCGTATATGTGTGTGTGTGTGTGTGTGTGTGTGTGTACGTGCTTGTGTGTGCGTGACTGCGTGTGCGTGCATGTGTGTGCGTGACTGCGTGTGCGTGCATGTGTGTGCGTGCATGCATGCATGTGTGCATGTGTGTGTGTGTGTGTGTGTGAATAATAAATAATAATAAACGGTTTATTAATAGAGTTGCAGCTGGTGGCTGAAAATATACAAATTTACATTTGATTTAGACATAATGATATGCGTTGAATACATTTACAGGACTGTGCAGTACATAAATCAGGAGTTGTTTATTATTTTAGCAATAGATGGGATGGTGCTATTCTTATATCTATCAGTGCGGGCTCTTATGGGCTGAATTTTGTTGTAGTGGCGGACTGCGCGAGGTGGGCGGGGGACTGCCGGTGGCAGGAGGTGGCGATGATGAGGATGGTGCAGTAGTCCACTGCCAAACCTTGCTAGTGCTTGGTGGTGGAGGTCACTGAGGGATGTGTGTGTGTGTGTGCGTGCGTGCGTGTAATAATAATAATAATAATAAACGGTTTCTTAATAGAGTTGCAGCCGGTGGCTGAAATTATACAGACTTAAATTTGATTTAGACATAATAATATGCGTTGAATACATTTACAGGGCTGTACAGTACACAAATCAGGAGTTGTTCATTATTTTAACAATAGATGGGATGGTGCTATTCTTATATCTATCAGTGCGGGCTGAATTTTGTTGTAGTGGCGAGGTGGGCGGGGGACTGCCGGTCGCAGGAGGTGGCGATGACGAAGATTATGCAGTAGTCCACTGCCAAACCTTGCTACTGCTTGGTGGTGGAGGTCACTGAGGGATGGCATTTCCAGGGTGGAGAGAGCATTGTTGTAGCTGGAGTAGTCTGTGCCAAGCATGATTCTGCAGGCCCTTTTCTGCACCTTCTCTAGCTGACGTTGTTGGGTAGAGTTGAGAGAAGATGACCAGGCTGGTGAGGCATACGTTAGTTTGGGGAGAATAAAGGCATTGTAGATAGTCCTCAGCTCTGGCGTGGGTGCCCCAAGTGATCTTAGTTGTCGTAGCATGTAGAGTCGGTACGAGGCTGCCTTGATTGTGTTGTTTACATGGGCCTTCCAGTCCAGTTTGTGGTCTATGGTAACACCCAGGAGTTTGGCAGACTGCACTAACTGGAGAGGATGGGCACCCACTTGGACTGCTGGAGCTTGCATTGGTGTGGTGGCGGTATTGATGTGCATGACTACGGTTTTGGTGTGGTTGATGGTGACTTTGTTCTCCGTAGTCCATGCCTGTAGCCTGTCCAGGGTGCCTTGTAGCGATGAGTAGTCCGGTGAGGTGTTGTCCACTGTAACCCCCACAGTGCAGTCATCCACGTACTTCCACCTGTGAGGAGTGTCCGATAGAGCGTCGTTGATCAGGATCAGGAAGCACAGTGGTTCCATCTTGGTCCCCTGGGGAACACCGCAGGTGAGGTGTTGGAATGTGGAGACAGAACCTTGGTATCAGACTGCCTGGCGATGTTCACTCAAGAAATCATTGAGCCATGAGACCAGGTTGGTGGGCAGCCCTAGTGCAATGGCCTTGTTGATAACAGTGCCGTGATCAACAAGGTCAAAAGCCTTCCTGAAGTCAACAAGGGCAATGGCCAGTGATGTCTTACATTTCTGCAGGTTTTTGTGCAGGAAATCCAGGAAACTAACTAAGCAGTGTGATGTAGAGGAGGTCCTCATGTTGCCAAATTGCTGTGGATCAATTGACTGATAAATTCTAGCAAATGCCCACTCAAAAACAAAGTCTTCACAGAGTAGACTGGGTATGGGGGTAATGGCAACTGGCCTGAGGTTGTTAGGGGACTGTGGGGATAGGGGTGACAAATGCGGTTTTCCATTCATTAGGGCATTTGCTTTGTCTGAGGGATGCATTAATAATTAATAGAACAGAGGTCAATTGGGGTTGTGAAGCATTTGGATTTAAATTTCAGGAGTTTGTTGGCGATTTCAAATGGTTGAACACTGGGAGGGGGAAGGTAAGTAAGCCGGGAGGAGAGTGAGGTCAAGACTGGGTCGGATATGACATATGGTAGCAAAGTGGTTATTAATTATCTTAGCTGCCTCCTCACTAGGTATATGTGAGATGAAAGGAAGTGTGGGAGACTGACGGTTAAGACCACAGAGATCTTTTACCTTGGAGTACCACTGACCGATGCCGACCTCCTTGAGGCCGTGCACTTTCCTGGGATAATAAGACTTTTTGGCCGACTTGATTTCCCTGATGACCTGGTTACGTAGACATTTGTATAGGTGGTTGTTGGTGTAGTATGCCTTGTTGCGCTGCTCAATTAGTCTTTTGATACGGGGACACCATCGGGGTGGATCCTCAGTGTCTTGGCTGGAAAGAAGTGGTGGTAGGCTTTGGTGATAGTGTCCAGGTAATTATCCCACTTGTTCTGCACATCGTCTAACGTGACCACTTCAGTCCAGGGATACCGGGTCACCCATTGTCCGGAACTCCGCATGGCAGAGTCAGAGGTAGGTCGGTAAGTCCTGGTGACAACTGGCAGTCGTGAGATGGTAGGTGTAGGTGACCACAGTGGAGACAGGTGGGGGCTGTTCCCCATGTGCCCCATGTGTGGGAAAGTCAACTTGTGCAAGGTGGAGGTGTTGGGTGATGTTACTGATGTCTAACTCATTAGAGTCACCGCATATCACTAGTTTAGCAGATAGAAATCTGGATCTCAGGGAGTCAGCAGTGTCTATTATATGAGTAATCAGTACATTGGCGGTTGGTGCGTGGAGGGGGGGGGGTGATAACAAACACAAACAATGAGGGAGGCAAGCTGGCGAGGGTGGGAGGTGGGAGTGACCTGAACCCACAAAGCTTCTACATCCTCAGGTACATTAACACCTAGGCGTGATGGTTTAAGGTCACTGCGACAGTACAGCACTACACCCCCACCGCTCCTGTCTTTTCTAAGGTGGTGAAATAACTCATAGTTTTCCATGGCACAGATCTCAGGAACAATTTGCCACGCCTCGGTAATCGCCACAATACCTGCACCAACGGACATCACTGTGACACTGACCTCCTCCACCTTGTTGCATAAAGATGTGACATTGGACAGCAATAGGGATGGTAGGCTGTACCATAGTCGCGGCACTTCATAGCGAGCACACTGTCTTTCAGGCACTGGCTTGACTTTCTTATGCTTGCTAGGCGTGATGATAGGGATTCGTCTGTGTGTGTGTGTGTGTGTGTGTGTGTGTGTGTGTGTGTGTGTGTGTGTGTGTGTGTGTGTGTGTGTGTGTGTGTGTGTGTGTGTGTGTGTGTGTGTGTGTGTGTGTGTGTGTGTGTGTGTGTGTGTGTGTGTGTGTGTGTGTGTGTGTGTGTGTGTGTGTGTGTGTGTGTGTGTGTGTGTGTGTGTGTGTGTGTGTGTGTGTGCAGTGAGCTGTATTGCATGACTGACTCACCTCCCTCCCCCTCATGTGACATCACAGCACACACACACATTGGAAGAACAAATACTGTATATGTATACAGCCTTAACAACATCGAACGAGAGAAGTTGACTTGTGAATGAGACCTAGTGGTTCTTGTAAGCCCGGACCTTTGGCCTAAAAAAACAGTGTGTTAATGTTCGAAATAAGGCAAACAGAGTATTAGGTTTTATATCTAGAAGTGCAAGTAATAAGTGTGCGGAGGTCATATTGCAACTATATCTTGCGCTAGTCAAGCCGCACCTCGACTATGTTGTTCAGTTCTGGTGCCCCTATTATTGAATGGATATCAACTCACTGGAGTCGGTGCAGCGAAGAATGACAAAAAATGATTCTGGGACTTAGAAACCTCCCCTATCAAGATAGATTAAAGAAACTAAACTTGCATTCCCTAGAAAGATGAAGAGTGCAAGGAGATATGATTGAAGTATTTAAGTGGGTGAAAGGAATCAATAAAAGAGATATAGAGAAAGTTCTTATAATATCCGAGCAGGATAGGACTCGTAGCAACGGATTTAAGTTGGATAAGTTTAGGTTTAGGAGGGAGATAGGAAGAAACTGGTTCACAAATTGGGTGGTAGATGAGTGGAACAAGCTTAGCAACTTTGTAGTAAGTTCTGGGGCACTGGAAAGTTTTAAAAGGAGAGTAGATGGATTCATGGACGATAGAGGGTGGTTGTAACTCCGACAGGAGCTGCCATGCACAGTCCAACCGGCCTATTGCAGACGCCTTATTTTCTTATGTTCTTATATCTCAGACAGCTGGTTGACTGCCTGGCTGAACTGTGTGGCATTGCTTAGATAATGGTTTGATTGTGGAAGGAGCTATTTTTTTTATAAAATGTGCTATTGTATGTTATGATATTGTGTGTATCAGTTTTATTGTTTTTTAGTAATTAAAAAAAAAGTGGTTATAGCGCTACTGGTGTCAGACACGCGAATAAATGACTTCAGTTGCATTCGCATTGTTGGGGTAAATTAGATAGTTGGAATTCGGATAAAATGAATTGCACTGTAAATTAAATAAAGTCTACGACATTAGATTTACCATAATAGTGGAGATGTTCTGCATACAGTGGTCTAACATGAATGAGGAAGGTTGTTGAGTGTTAGCAGGTCAGTACAGCAGGAACCAAATTTTACCAGGGAGTGTTAAATATTAATTCTGGTGCCCTAGATACTCTGTGGTGCAATGTATAGAACTTTACACCCAAAATATTGGGGTGCTACAGCACTCTTCCTTTCCGCGTCATGTACTGGTTGGAGTGAGAGGGGGAGAACGGTGCGACACACATGAGAGAACTGAATAACTAGTGAGTGTGTGTGTGGGAGATGCTCATCTGTCAATGGTCAGTCAAAAAATTTCTAACAGCCTCACAGATAGCTGAATTTCGATTGCAAATCTTGAATAAATGAATTCACAAATACTGTACAGGGGGATAAGTGTATACTAAATATTTTGAGATTTTCCAAGATTTTATATAACTCGTTTTTTCCGAATTATTTAAAAAAAATCCAGAGTATATCCTTCCTGAGTTATATGAAATTCTGAATTATCAAATGCCGAGTTATCCAGGTTTTACTGTACAGCTTACAGCACTCTTTTTATATGATTATATGGGCTGTAAGGGCAGTACAGTAAACCCTAGAAAGACTGGACCCTGAAAGTCCAGATTTCAAATGGATAGTCTAGACCAGGGGTGGCGAACCTATGGCACGCGTGCCCACGGTGGCACTTGAAAATATTTTGTTGGCACGCAGCATGCACTGCCGCCCCAAGATTATTTAAACCCCACCCAGTGATCAGGGAAGAGATTACCTTTGATTTGGTTTGTCTTTTTATTTTGAAGTCAAATTTCAAATTATATATTGATTTTTCTATTGTTTAATACTGTGTCATATTTTTTATGATGAAACATTACTGTACATTAATAGGCTGATCATATGAGAATATAATGAATAAATAAAAACGAATACAAATGTGTGAACGGCCTGTCCTAGTCCCACTCTCCCACCTCCAGCATGTTTACACATAAAGTGTCATCTCTTGTACCTATTAGCTCTTGTCAGGCCTATATCAAATCTGATTAGACCACTGTTCAGTATCCCCATTAAAGACAATACACTAAGTCCTCTCTTAACGTTGTGGTTCCGTTCCTGAAAACTGCAACATTAATGGAAACAACATTAACGCAATAAATTTTCCCCGTAAGAAATAGATAAAATACGGGAGTTACATTCCCCAGCCTCCCTTTGCCCCATAAAATACATTACATACCTGTATATAGTGAACCCTCGAAGATCCGAACTAAAAGGGAGGACCATCTGTCTGGAAAAACGATTGTCTGGATTTTCCTGCGAATAATAAATGATATGAGAAACTCCAAAAATACAGTACTAATGTTGTGAAAAACAAATTACAATATATAAACTATGCATTTACCTATGATAACATAATAAGAAACATTGCATCATTACTAGAGTGAATGAAATAGTATTCCTACAAACAACAATTGTCAACTTTGTTTATGTTTCCCACTTCCTCGAGCACCTGTCTCCAAGCAACTGACAGGTCAAGCAGCGCCCCAGGGCCTAAAATGTTCTTTGCTCTGGTTTGTGAATGTTTCTTAGGGAAACTTCTAGGAGGCTTCTTAGCCCAGAACCCCCCAATTTTTTGTCCGGATTTCCCGGGTCCAGATCTTTGAGGGTTTACTGTACATAAATTCAATGGAATGTTTATAGAAATAAGTATATATTATACATCCAAAAAGATAAATAAACTAAATCATTTTGTATTGTACTCACTGATGGGCGGAGGTGGAGCGAGTGTGTGGTGGGTAGTGGGAGAGGAGGAGGGCGGGAGAGGAGGAAGGTGGCGAGTCACTGAGACCCGGAGGGTGGCGAGTCACTGAGACCCGGAGGGTGGCTCCTCCACCTGCTCTGACTGGGTGAGAGAGGGTGAAACAACGTTGTCGGGGGCACCATTAAACGAGGACTTACTGTACATTACTGTACATATTTTAATAATAAGGTAATATATTTTATTAAAAAATTCAAATTTAAGGGTCATCAGGAGGCTAGTGAGTGGCTGCTTAGATCACAGTGGCCCCCAGAATCCTCATTTGGTAAAAGCCCAGACAACCTGCAAGTCATGACTTTCCTTCCCCCCAAATTGTCTGGACTTTTGAGGGTTTACTGTACTCTTTATTATATGGGCTGTAAGTGTAGTACTCTTATTCTACTGTATCACGTGTTAGTGCAAAATTAATTCTCGGTAGGCTTTCAACATTTCCTTCGATTTATTAAATGCTAGGAATTGCTTTGATGTAACTATATTTGCATTTAACTTGTGATAGTAGTACTGTACAGTACTTGGGAAATTACTAAAACCACACGTATTTACTTCTTTGGACCTTTTTAAATTAATAACATTAAACTCCAGGAAATGTTCATTCGTTGTTCAATATGAAATACCAAACTTATTTGGAGTTAATATTTTGTTTCCTTTACTTTCAGTGTACAGATATTCCAATAACAAGTGAACTCTTTGTTAATGTGATAAAAACAACAAGTAACTTGGAAGAATTAGATGCCATAAGAAGTCTAGTTGTCAAAGAGATGGCAAATTTGGTAAGTAGGATAGATTGTTGTTATTCTATATCTTTGCAAGCTGTCTTAGTTTCTTTATATTTGTGTTATATATAATTTTTTTGCCCCAGTACCCAGAAACATTCCGGGGATGTGGAATTTTTCTGGGTTTGAGAGAGTTGTCTCGTTACCCAGAAATCCCTCATCCCCAGAAGAGCTCTGCACCAATTATTGTGGCTAGTGGTGATATCACTGTACAATGTAAGATAAATCTTTAAGATTGTAAGCATGTAAACAGCAATAATGAAAACATATAAATAGCAATAATAAATACATAAAAAGAACAAAAATGGTACAAGTTAGTGTACTATACACACTGCGGCATAGTCTCCACTGCCGCTCACCGTTGCAACACAGCAGTGTCCCTAGCAATGGTGCTCTGCGCTGCTGACCCTATTACCTGTAGATACTTAAATGCTTGTACCTTATTATAACTATTTATTTTTGCACTTTCTGTATACAGTATAGGATTGTGTTCATGTAAAGGATTAAAAAAAAAAAAATACATGTAAGTACACTGTATCTACCCAAAAATACAGCTGGCTTTTGGAACCTTATGGATACTGGGATGCCAGATAAACAGTCCCATACATGTAGTACAGTTATTTGGGAAGTATTGATAATGTTGAAAATTGTTGGGTGTTTCAGGAAGAAGAGATTTTCAGTGAGAGTAGGACTGTTAGGACTTATGATGTCACCTTAATTTTTTAATACTACTGTATTTTCTTGGATGGGATTCTAAGAGGGATGAAAGCAATGGTGAGAATAAAGTACAATACTGTAATTGATTGGAATAAGGGACACAAGATGATACGAGAGAAAAGATGCAAATTTTAATGACTGAGTTTGGACAAGTGTGTAGTAACGTGTAGGAAAAAGTTAAGAGTACTGTACAAGTGTAAAGGTAAATGAATTATAGAAATGAAAATAGAAAAGGAAAACAAGGGAAAATAAATACTGTACAGTGAACCCTCACTTTACGCGGTCAATTGAACCCACGGCGGCCCGCGTAAAGTGAGAAACGCGTAAAGTGAACAACATAACAAATGGGATTAATTGAAATAGAGACCGGGCCGACCCCCAAACTCCACTTTTTCAGACACAATACCTACGTTGTAGTAAAAATAACTTCTTAATTTTATGATGGTATGCACACGCAATTAATAATTAAGAGAAATATCAATAATATTAGGTTTTTTAACATTACATTAGTAGAAAAGATGGCTGGGCACACGGGGATGGGGGGTTGGTTCCGAGGCAGAGGGCAGATTATTGGCCCTCACCTGTATCACTTGTATCAATTGTATCACTATCCACCACAGAGACTTGCAGGGCCTCTTTGTCAAACCCCTCTAAGTCCATATCCTCACTATCATTATCACTATCACTGACTTGGGCCAGCTGTGGTGGGTGGCGGATGAAGAACTCGGTAATGTTTTGATGACTGGACGACCTTGTGCGCACCCTGCTCGCGCAGCTCTCCGCGTAAAAGGGTACACACACCGTGGAAAGTGAGCATTCCGTGTTTGGCAGGGTACCGCGTAAACGTGGAAACGCGTAAAGTGGGACCGCGTAAAGAGAGGGTTGACTGTACTGTAATTTGAATGGAGGTGGAATTGATGAAGGAAGATGGTTTAGGTGTTTGATAGTGGATGTATTAGCAAATGGAACTACTGTATGGATGAATCATATAATAGCAGGGGGAAAAGTTGGCAAGAAATCCATGGAGTAGAAGAGATAGAAATGTACAATGCAAACTTAGAGCTGACATTATTACAGAGGTGTGAAGCATGGACTTTGGATAAAAAAAGAAGAAATAATATGGAAGCAGTGGAAATTAATTACTTCAGAGCAATATTTAGGTAATTGAGGTGCAGGGATTACTGAGAACTAAAATAAGGAGATATGAACAGGTTTTGTTAAGATGCCTAACATATGCTGAGAAAGTGGAAAGAGAAAGATTTGTGAGAAACAAAAACAAAAGGAGTGTATAATTAAGAGGCATATTGTACTGCAATAGTAGTGGGAGGGGAAGACCAAGAAGGAGGTACTGTAGAAGGGTGTGATGAGGAACATACCAGGAGTGAATGGATGAATGTCCAGGAAGTAGTGGTGTGCTTGAATAACTGAAAATCCTGGGGTTTTTTTTTTTTTTGACATAGTGGTGATGAGGTGGAGGACACACTGAAAGTGAGGGGGTTTAATATCCAGGATACAGCACTGAACACGAGTGACCTGCGAACATGGTGATGATAGTCTATTCATTTTAGGGGGTTAAGCATGCTGTTGGTGGGTAAGTAAACCAGGTACATCAATAGGTTGCAATCACAAAGGGTAACACCAAATCAGAACACTTTTATAGCATTAAAGTGAATGAATTGAAAGAAGGGACTGAAGGAAAAGCCTATGTTTGCTCAAGTCTAGTCACCATACAACACAGCAGGAAAATACCAGAAAGCGTGGAAATATATTCACATTTCAAGGATAGAATATACATAATTTTCATGTTATTTTTATTCTTCATTGGTTCTTTCTCCAGAGATCACAGGATTCTGGAGGCCGAGATGAAGGCACAGAGGTTAAGCAGCAGTTGGGTAGCCTGGAGTTTGCCAGACGTGTTATTGACAATCGTGTCAACAGAATAGATAAAGGGTCTGAAACTGATTCATTAGGTAAGTTGCCCTTCTATAAATAAATGTGCAGAAATCAAATCCTAATTACTGCATTTCTTTTTAGTCATAAACATTATAGATACATATTACAAGAGTTGCATTTTTTGTCTGATTAATTTGCCCTGGCTCTTTAATGAGTAATGCTTGGTAGCCTTGAAATGAAAGAGAATTACTATACTTATTACTAGTTTGGGTGCATTGGCGGTTTATCACAAGGGTTCCAGTTCGTGATACTTGGGCTGGTCTTTTGTACAGAAACTCTTATAAATTGATGAAAAATATGAATCACTTTAAACAATTAACTACTATAAACAAAATTATTATATAATTTTCTGGGGGAAATTAATCAGTCAAAAAATAAACTGTGTTTATACAAAATATATTGTGTGTGTATGTGTGTGCATTCCTTATGCATTTCCATAGTTTTGAATATAACTTCAAACATAGGCTGGATGGATTTTTGAGCAATAGGGGTTGGGTGTAAATGGGACTGCCCAGTATGGGCCAATAGTATGGACTGCCCAGTATGGGCTGCAGTTTCCTCCATTCTCATGTTCTTATGTAGTAATGCACTACAGTATTTTTTATCCCTCCATGAGAGGTAGGGTGGGTAATGTGCCTCATAAAATAAAAATACAGTTGAGAAGCAGGTGCATGTTCTCCCTCTAATGGTTGTTCATCAACTGACTACCAATGCCAACTGTCACCTTTACCATTTACACCTAATTTAACATACTTATAACAATAAAGTAGTAAGAAGGTAGTACTGTAAGTGTAAGAATGCATAAAAGAATTATATAAGTTGTGGTAATGAGTTACAGTAGACTCGCATTTTTCTTACGTGGTTTCAACTATACGCGGATTCCCCCGTGGGTTAGGTTACAATTTCCAATTTCAAACTCCAAATTCCAAATTTTCAAAATGGGTCGTAAGCACGCCAAACGCTAGCCCGCCAAAGCTCCACCCCAGCTATCTAAGCTCTCGGTCTTCAGTTGCTGCGTGGGTATTGTCGGAGTAACACCTGCCTCGTCTGTGTCAATTTAGTGCGCTTAGACCTCTCATACACGTTCATAATGCCCAAACACAAGCCAACCCCTACCTCTGGTCTCCCAGCAAAGAAACAACGCTCTGTGATGACCCTGGAAGAAAAAGTGGCCTTTTTAGACTTAATAAAGGGTGGGATGTCGGTCGCTGCTGTGGCACAGAGGTATGGACGCAACGAATCAAGCGTGAGGTCCATTAAGATTCGGGAGAATGAAATTCGTGAAACCGTGTCTGAAAGTGCCTCATTTACTGGTAAGGTGACTAGCCAGGTTAGAGATGTAACTCTACTGAAGGTGGAGAAGGAATTAAACTTCTGGGTAGAGGATATGAACCAGAAATGTGTCCCCATCGACGGCAACATGCTCTGGGAGAAGGCACTGAGTCTTTATGACCAGTTTAAATCTTAGGTTTCTCAGGGCAAAGCATCCACCAGCTCTGAGAAGAATTTTAAAGCTAGTGCAGGTTGGCTCAACAGTTTCAGAACACGTTTCAACCTGAAAAATATTAGAATCACCGGCCAATCGGCATTGGGGGACGAGGCAGTTGCACGGGTGTTCCCAGACGAATTCAGGAAATTTATTTAGGAAAATAGATATCTTCCAGAGCAGGTCTTCAACACTGACGAAACAGGTTTGTTTTTTGGGAGAAAATGCAAACCAGAACCTACATTTCCAAGTCTTAGAAACAGGTCCCTGGGTTCAAGGCTGCAAAGGACCGTGTCACCGTCCTACTATGTGGCAATGCAGCAGGGCATATGATAAAGCCAGGCATGATTTATAGGTCTGCCAACCCTTGTGCTCTGAAGGGAAAAAATAAGAATCTCCTCCCTGTCTACTGGCAGTCAAACAAGAAAGCCTGGGTGACAGCAATGCTTTTCCTTGCTTTTCCTTGAGTGGTTCCACAAATGTTTTATCCCCGAAGTAAAGAGCAACCTAGAGAAGCTCAGCCTGTCTTTCAAGGTGTTGGTGGTCGTTGACAATGCACCAGGCCACCCGGATGCCATAAAATTCGCTGACGATGACATCGAGGTAGTGTTCCTGCTACCCAACACCACCTCCATCCTCCAGCCTCTTGACCAGGGCGTGATTCGGTGCTTTAAGGCAGCGTGCACAAGCCTCACATTCGTCCGCATTCGCAATACCATGGAAGACGGCACTAACAACAGTGTTATGGCATGCTGGAAGGAATTCAAAATTGCCAATTGCATCACTTTTGTGAAAGAGGCCATGGGTGCACTGAAACCAAAGTCGGTTAATTCGTGTTGGCGGGCACTGTGGAGTGACTGTGTGCGTGACTTCAAAGGATATCCTAAGATTGACTCTGAAGTTAAGCCCATCGTGACGGTGGCCAGGGCTGTAGGCGGTGATGGGTTTGAAGACATGGTCTAGCAGGAATTCGAGGAGTTAATTGAAGGGCACAGGGAAACTCTGACTGATGCCGAGTTGGAGAAAATAGTGAGAGCAGATGAAGAAGATGGTGGTGCTGACGATGATAATGAAGAACAAGAATATACTGCCAGACTGGGGTCACTAATTCTAAAGGGGAATACTTAACTCTAATCTTAATTTCTAAGGGTCGCTGCCACCAGACCCCCTCTGGACAGTATGTATTTCATCAGGTAGCGTGCAGAGTGGACTAGGCATTGGGTTAGGTTTTTCATTGACCAGATCGATAAGGGGAAAGAAGGGTGAAACCATAACATGTCTTAATTAATTTATTCCTTATAAAGCATACTGGTAAAAAACATACAAATGAATTGGCCTTCGTCAGAAGAACAACGAAAATGTTGGTTACCCCGCTCGGCACCAGACGTCTTACATTAATGGCGTGTCATCCACATACTTATTGCATAACAATCTGTGACCTCCTTACCTCGGTCATTCCTTCTTACACTACCCCTTAACACATCAGACTGCTCCACCTATATGGAACATAGCACCGTTGGTTATCATACATAGTAGCACCATCTCAACACACCTGTTACACTCCACACCTGCAGGTATGGGACTCCTTGTAACTTTTAGGTATACATAACAGGCACCTCGTTCGCACACCGTCCTCGGTGGGTAAAGACGAGGGCTTCACCAAGAGACATACCAGTACTATTTCTACGTCTGGTATTATAGATCGCTCCAAGTGACGACCGCGGAGTTTCTCACGGTCTCCTTATTTGTTACTACTCATTTGGGGTGGTGTGCTGGGAATCCACAGGTTCACAGTGGAGTGGCATAGCTGGGAGTAATCACCACCTGGTGGGACGCTCACAGGGATAATGGCTGTCGCGCAGCAAGGCACTCCGAGCACTCCGACCACATGGGACCTGAGGTGACGGTAGAACGGAGGGTACTGAGAAATAATGCCTGACGGGCGGTTATCACACACCCTAACACATTACTATTACACTTATACTTCAGGCAAAGCTTTAAACTGTAATAACTTCTATATAAGCCTTTTTTACAGGGCGGGATATAGCTCGATAGGACACTGACCTGAGGTGATGGTAGAACGGAGGGTACTGAGGGCAGTGCCCCGCCACTCGTTACCGCGTAGGCCTACAGTTTCCAGTCTTTAATTTTTACTTTTATTTCTTACGGTTCTCACCTGAGCACTATTGTCACCCATGCCTTATAAACACATATTTTAATTCTAAAGTACACACTAAGGTAAGGTTCTGGTTTGCTAGTTCGTGGGTAAATTCATTGGGTTATAATATCAACGCGGCACACTCGAGGCGGGTACAGGACGCTCCCTTAAACAAAGGCCGAATGTTCATGGCGTGGGTATATCCACTTCACCTAAAACTGTAATTAGGGATCCTCCTCTCACACATTGTACTATTTGAACACAGACATAAGATTCTCTGATCACTGTACATGTCGTGGGTATATGTCACGTGAGGATACGAGGTGTATTAAGTTCACACCGATGCATACAAGATATTTCCTTTCAAGTATAGTTTCTGGGTCACTTCCAACACCTCACATAGTTCTGATACATTTATCCTTTTTCCAGATCATTGTTCTCATGTATTTTCATATGATATCTGTGGAAGTTATGTTCGCTACACGTTCACAGACGTAAATAGTATGACCTTCAAACCATGATCCACACTTAGTCCTACAGTACACTAGTCCGGCTCAACTGGACTTTCCCAATCATCTTTTGGATACCCTGAGTTCTCCTTAATGCTATGAATACATACAATTAATATTATATAACTGTACCTGGGTACAACACAACACATGATTCAGTAACATTGAGTAGGTGAGTTATCCTTTATCAATGTCTCCCGTTCTCTGAGATTCTACAAGCGCGGTGGATTTGAATGTTATGTAGCGTAATATGAATTAAATGGGGTTTTTAGGAATGACAATGATGTGCGCAGTACAAGAAGAGCCAGCATGTTGGAATATACACAAGTTTAGTGAAGTGTTTCAGGTGGCCGAGCGCAACATCAACTTCTCACGAGGTCTTACAAGCGTTATGGCTCAGTATAAGAATATGTTCCAGCAGCTTAAGAAACAACAACGACAGCTTCCCATCACCATGTTAAAACTTTAGCATCAACATCGTCAGCAGATCAGCCAATGCCCTCAACTTCTCACAGTGACCTTGAGCTGCCCACATCCTCCCCTGCATCGTTATCTGACCTTGATGATCCCCCCACGGTGACGTTGGAAGGGGATGAATAATCTCAAAACAACAACACAAGTCTGTCTACATAAAGGTTTTCAACTTATATTTTTGGCTCGATATACAGTACATAACTTTCTTCATTTATTTTTACTCATTTACATGCACACACTGTCCCAAGGGCAAAGCTAGTACTGTACATGTACTCAAAATAATGTACTAAATGATTCCTAAATTTTTTTTTTTTATTCAAATTAATCACTATCTTATAAGAATCCCAGCAATGTAAATTATATTCTCCCAGGTCAGTTCAGTGACATTTTATAAGAGGAAAACTTAGTCACTCTTAAGGACAGATAAATAAATACACACTAGATCTTCGGCACCAACTGTCAACGTATCACCTCACCTCTCCCCTCCTCCTCCGTCCCTCCCTCCTTCTCCCCCATCTTCCCAGCCAGGGTTTGGTGCTTTTAGGCTTAAAGTGTTTATCTGAAAAAATATCACAGACTAAAATTAGAAGAATAAAACTCACATTGCTAGAACCCTTGTAAGAAGCGAATAATTTGAATATAAACATCATATATTTTGCACAAGCAATAAAAATTAATCACCTGTATCACATCACAGTAGTGATTTATGAGTTCTAGTGAAAATGTACGTACATATATAGTGATTTAAGGGCAATGTAGGGAATTTTTATGAGTGTTTCTGACTTTACGCATTTTTTAGGCTTTACTCGAAGTCCCAGGAACGTAACCCCTGCGTAAGTTACGAGTCTACTGTATTTATTGAGAGGTGTTAACAGATATATGAATGTTCCCCCTCTCACAGACGTGCATAAATTGATGCATCTCTGCAAATCTAGAAGGCTCTTGTTGATTGCTACTTAGATGGAAATAATTTGTTTCGATAATTGAATATTTTCGCCTTCAAAATTAAATTATTGTAACTCTTAGACTGCAGTATGTGAATTTGCAATAAACAGAGACTACCTGTACTTTTCAATTGTTTTGAATTCTCAAATTGCACATCTGTCATCTTGGACCATGCTGTCATTCCAGAGATGCTAACCTAGCTACTGAATCTTTAGCAAACAATTCTACCTCTATTTTATCATAATTCAGAGATTCCCATTTCCCTTTGCACTCATGATGTACTGAAAACAGAGGGAGAAAAACGACATGCATTAAAGGAATGCTGCATACTGTGTAGCGAAATAGACAAAATGCACACTCCTTGGTGAAATTGCAGATAAAACAGCAGTCTCCCAATATTATTAATGGCGGCATGGGTGGAAGGAACTGACTGTGTTTACATTTTCATTTACGCTTGGCTTTGCCAGATGACAGCACACAACAGTAGTACGTGATCACCACAAGATTCATAGAAAATGGTAGATTGTCTATGAGAAGGAAATATTTTTGATGGCTGTGGCATTATTGCGACTGTTGTACTTAAGAATAATGCTTCTTAACTTACATTATTGTGGTCTTTGCACCCAAATGGTTAAAACAAACCAAGCACTGCAAACTGAAAAATGGTTTTTCAGTGAATTTCTAGACTTAAACGCATTCTATTTATGCAAGCGTAAGTATTTTGGATGATGCAGTATCATCTGTGCTCCAGAGTGTTAAAGAAGTTAGAGAAGGAAGAGGACATGGGAGTGGTAAGTGATAACAAATTGTCACTTGAGGAACATATACATGGTCCAGTGAACATTACCACCACTCTGGGCTAGATATTTTCAGCAGGGGCCATGGAAACCCATGGATACTTGCAAATGGATACCATGATTGGTTAAATGGTGTACAAAATATAATTTGTGGATAGTCAAAACTACAGGGATTACTGTACTGTGTTTGTATTTTTGTACTCTATGAACCAGGTTGTTCTCATCATTATTATATTACAAACTTTTTGTCTTTCTTTGAATAAAATTTTGCGAACAAATATGATTTCTGCTCTAACTTGTAAAATTCTTTTGTGTGAAGTATGCTTAGTCAATAATGTGCTTGACTCTTCCATTGTTGATTGTGTAACCTTTTAGAGGTATCATCATTTTTATACTACTGTACATGTATTAGCTCAGCAAATTTTTCCCATAGGTGATTACATATGATAGAATTCCGTGCTTTACAAATTACTGTACTTGAATTTTAATCTTCATCCACAGGTTTACCCATGAATTTGGACTATCGCCATTTAGCTCGTGGAAAGCTGTTCCAGCTGCCATTGGAAGCAATATTAAAGAATAGCCTCACACTGGATCATTTTCTCAACTACATGGCTTCAATTAATGCTCAGCATTACATCAACCTCTACTTGAACATTGAATGTAAGGAATTTTTCCATCATTTTTTTGTAGTACATATACTGTACACTACTGTAATACTGTACATTGGTAACAGTACTTTATGATTTGGTGGTAACTTTGACGAGTGTGATGGTTGAGGAAGGGAAAGGTAAGGTTAGTTATCACCTTTTGGCCCTAGAACTTACAGGTCTGAGATGATAACAGGATTATTGTCTAGTGTTGTACAGTAATACCCCGGGTTACAGAAGGGATGCTTCCTTGAAAAGTTGGCTATAACGTGAACCCCATTTTCCCATTGACTTCTATTGCTGTATATAATTGGAGATCCATTACTAAAGAAAGTTTTTTGACAAAAAGAAGTAATATAAACACACGAATGAAATTTTTATTTTTTTTAAACATTTATTGATTATTTTGATATAATATGATAATAAACACAGTACACAAAGCACTTTAATTTAACTCACCACAAACGATGTTGAGTACTGCGTGAGGTGAGGTGAGGTGGTGCAATAGGAGTTATTGGGAGATGTAGCAGGCCCTACTGTTTTTTCAATCTGGCTAAGTTTATCTCCTGCATCAATCCTCCAGAAAACATAAAGTTTTATATCCAACATAATTCCTTTGTGGAACTCTTTTAGCACTTCTGCTTTCACTTGCACTTGATGGCCTCTTTCAACTCATCTTGAATATGGGTAACACACTGGACAGCCTTGAATAAGATTCATATACAGTATACCGTAAATTGCGGCGTATAAGTCGACCTCAAGATTTTTAGTTCAAAATTCAGGTTTAGTTCTATACTCGCCATATAAGTCAACCCCCCAAGGCCCAAACATAGGCGAAAGTGTGTAATAAGGCCACGCCACTTTCATCAAGACACTTACCGTAATACCTTTCAATATTTGATATGTATATACAGTATACGTTATATTATATAGTTCATACAAAAAGTTATCTTCGCAAGAACTCTGGTAAACACCCTCTATATGACAGATAAATAAATATCACTAGGTAACCTTCGCCGCCGGCTGTGTCAACACCCCACTTCCCTCTCGAACTTCCCACCACCTTCCAGCAAGGGTGAAGGTGGTTTAAGGCTTCAAGTTTTTATCTTATAAAATGTCACACTAAACTTAGCAGAATGTAACTTGTATTGCTGGAATCCTTGCAAGACAGTGAATAATTTGATATATACATTAAATATTGTGCAAAAAAGATAACAATTTTAATCCTTTAGTGTAGTACATTTGAGTACAAAGTGAGTACAGTAACATGTTGCTAAAAAATATGGCTTTTTCACAGGAAAAAGTCTGTATAACTATCCCCATTAGTCAGGATAATTTGTACTGTACTGAATTTTTTGTGTTTTTTATATCATTTATCGTTTTTATACATTTAGTGCATTCGCCAGAAGATTTGGACAATCGGCTATTCTAGACAGGTGGTCCATCCTCTTAGTCCGGATCTTCGAGGGTTGACTGTACAGTAATTCCTTGCCAACCACAGTGTGCTGCACCATGTGGGTCAAGGAGAGAGAAGAAAGGGGGGAGAGAGATAAAAAAAAAGAAGAGAATGAGAGGTTGACCAGCTGATCAGTTTGTGACCAACTCATGTTTTGACTTATTGTATTTTGTCTTGTGCCAGTTTGTATACTGTCAAGCACCTTGAGTGCAGCCTGTAAACTATGCCTTAATAAATTGATCACAAAAAAGCAAATTTGTTATGGGCAAATGTGTGAGTAGCAAGGCCCTTGTCTATTGTACAGTACAGTACAGTATTCTGTTTTGAGCTTAGTTTGATTGCAGCCACGTTGTAACAGTACCATATGCACATTGTAAATGTTTTTTAGTAAGGTGATTTCCCATAAATTTTTAAAGTTTTCTTCATCTTGGAACCATACATAAATGTTTTACTTTTTTGTAGGTTGGCGAACTGCAGTAAATGAAAGACTGTGTGCCTTAGAGCTGGAGAGATTGCAGCACCTGGAAGAATCAGAAGCCCAAGGATCTGGGATGACCATGCCAGATCTCTGTCATGACCACTTTTCTGCCCATGACCTTTCATCTCATAAGGAAGAAGCAGAAATGATTTATGAGCAATATCTTTCTGAAAAAGTATGTCAGATTCACATGTATTTGCATGTTTTTGTGACTGTGAGATTTCACTTCATGGCTTTATGAAGCTTCACTTGTGGTCCATGTATTAAATACGTACACACCTAATAAGGTGAGGTTTTGCCTTTAATTACGATAATGTTCTTGTTTCCTCTATATGTACTACAGGAATATTTTGGTTGTGTATCTGTGCCTACATTTTACTTCTTGTTGTCTTTCAATCATGTTACCAAAGTATATTCTCAGTGTGTATTATGATCTGCTTGCTGGCAAGTGTGCTGTGTAAATAATGTTGTCCTGTATTGTTTTGTGCTGGTGTTTAATTGTCTGTGCTGTATGTGTTGTTGTGTCAACTTGCTATATAGCTGTGTAGCAGAATTCATCTTAAACTGTAATGGCATTTGAAAGAATAAGTGACAATGAATGGAAGAGAGTTTGTGTTGTTCTTGATTTCAGTGACCTGCATCCTAGTGAGAAAGGACTTATAATAGTAAAAAGTAAATACATGTACAGTACAGGTATTCCTCATTTAAGGATTGTTTGCTTAGCGATATTTTAGTTTAAGAGATTTAACATTTTTAACAGCCCTTCTGTTTAACAATCGTCAATTTTCGGTTTAACAATTTTCGACTCGCTGGGAAAATTTGGGAGATAAGTCGGAAAAACTGAGGATTATGTGCTCCACGTGCACATCATTATAATACAGTAATGTAATGTGGCTTACCGTATATCACGGCCTATAAGACGAAATTTGAACATTAAAAAAATCTGCCCAAAGTTAGGGGGTCGTCTAAACCACCAAGTTTAAAATTCTTACCTCTTAAATATTGTGGTTTAGTGTGTCAAGAGTGGTGATGAAAACATCGTAAGCCACTCACAAGGTCTTACCACTAATTATTTTATACTGAAACTTACGTTTGGCAAGCTGGATTCAAATTAAGATTACCGGTATATTAAAATAATAAAAATGTATTATAAACCTGTCTAACATACCGTAAAAGAGATTTATACCCCTGTAATAAACACAGCTATCATCACACACCCCTCCCCACGCCCCCCCCCATTTGCCAGTGAGGAGACAAGAAAGGCAAAGTGACCGCGAGATTGGGCTATTTTTAGCCGTGGAGGTGGTCAGTAATGCATACCGGTATCGGTATATTTACTCATAATAATATTTATCTCCTATAAATAATTGATTTAAATTTTATTTTTTTACAAAGAATATTCAGTAAATGAGTGCATTAATTCTTGAAACTATCGACGGTTAATTACAGACGCTCAAGTGACGTCACTAGTGTTTACACTACACCAGCTGGTAATATTTGATGCCATTACTTGAAGTGAATTGGCCTTATTTTAAGTAACTAACTATAAATAAATACAAAAATTAAAAAAAGATCAAAACTGAGAAATAATATACTGTATGTATGTTGTGTTGTCAAAGTAAGAGGAACAATTGTGTAAGTACGTAATATTTTTTCACTCAAATCCTAATGAAACACTACTGGAGAACATTCCTTTGTCGCAAAACAGTTTATAAATTAAAGAAAATAATTACAGTGTGTTTAATATATTACAGTATATTATAAATAAATAAATAAAACAAATAATTCGGTAAATCTATTTAAAGTAAATGGAAAATAAGCAAACATGTTATTTACCAAGACCCTTCCGTCTGGCTCAGGGTGAGATGGAGGGGAGATAACAAAGCTATTTATAGCCCATCAGAAGTGACCAGTACCCTAATGCACCATAAATAATTCATTGAACATTCATTTTTTGTACATAGTATATTCAGTATATATATATATATATATATATATATATATATATATATATATATATATATATATATATATATATATATATATATATATATATATATATGTGTAATAAATGTATGTAGTAAGTACATACTGGTAACCTTTTTCACTCAAATCCTAATGAAACACCACAATTAGAATACGGTGGTTGCTGTTGAACCACATGTTGTATAAATAGTCACACCACCGAGACGAGGGAACACTCCCACCACGCTTCAGTGACGTCACTAGTGTTTACACTACACCAGCGGGTATAATTTGATGACATTACTTGAAGTGAATTGGCCTTATTTTAAAAAATCAAGGATGGTTGGTAAAGGACTACTGAGTCAGTGGGTAAGTGTCACATTTGGGGTACTGGTCTTATACAGCAAATAGAGCTCAAAAGCTACTTTTTAAATGGAAATTTGGGGGGGGCGTCTTATGCACCCCGCCGCCTTATAGGCCGTGATATACGGTATTAATAAAAAAAATACTGTATTGTATACTGTATACAGTACAGTATATTATAGTTTTATAGTATACAGTATACAGTATAGTCTGGGTTTACGTGGATATTTTATACGCGTTTGGCCATTTACGCTGCACCTGTCCAGACGCGCCAATTATTAGTTACGCGGTACATTCCTTAATTTACGCGGCAAGCGGCTGGTCGCTGACGTCACCAATGACGTCAGACTTGTGCCGATGACGTCGCGGACTGTGATTGGGCCACGTATCCTTACCACCCACGCACCCCCTCCGCCGCGCGCTGTGATTGGTCTATTTAACCTTGCCTGCCCGGTCAACAAAACATTACCGAGTTCTTCACCCGCCACCCACCACAGCCAGCCCAAGTCAGTGATAGTGATAGTGAGGATATGGACTTTGAGGGGTTTGACAAGGAGGCCCCGCTAGCCTCTGTGGTGGATAGTGATACAGGTGATACAAGTGATACAGGTGAGGGCCAATAATCTGCCCTCTGCCTCGGAACCAACCCCCCATCCCCGTGTGCCCAGTCATCTCTTCTACTAACGTAAGTGTTAAAAAAAATAAATATTATTGATATTTCTCTTAAATATTAATTGTGTGTGCATACCATCATAAAATTAAGATGTTATTTTTACTACAACGTACGTATTGTGTCGGAAAAAGGGTAGTCTGGCGGTCGGCCGAGTCTCTATTTCAATTAATCCCATATGTTCTGTTATTTTATTTACGCGTTTTGCGTTATACGCGGACCTCCATGGGTTTAATTGACCGCGTAAACCCAGGCTATATTGTACTGTATTATAAAACTATAAAATAGGAAAAAATAAAGAACATGGGTGTGTATGTGTGTGAAGGCAATGTATGTATTGAGGCAGTGAGCTGTAACTGTGGCCAGCCGCACTTTGCCTCCACCCTATGTGACGTCATGGCATACAGGCAGCAGCCACACACATCTCTTGAGTCAGCTTGGTGACTGCCCGGATGAACTGAGTCGTGCATATACTGTACCAGTAAATGTGAGGAATAAATAACAATAATAAATACGGTACTGTAATATGGCATAGAAATAAAAAAAATACAGTACAGTACAGTACAGTATTTTATAGTTTTACAGGCAACGATGGGGTTAGGGACCTAAAAAGCCATCACTTAGCAATGGCTTTTTAGGTTTATGTATTGATATTAATAACTTATGGGGGAAATAGATTCCGTTCCTTACCTCCTGAAGAGCCCAAACAAGCTTTGTATCCTGCTGCTATAGTGATTAAATATTGTCTCAATAGCTCAAGTAGTTTCTAAAAAGATATAAAATCAATAAATTTATACAAAATAATTTCATTTATCTCATATGAACATGTGTGTGTGTGGACTTGGCAGGTTGCCATGTTAGATGTCACTGTAACAACATTGCCTTACCTCTCCTCCAACCAGGCAAAGCTGTTTTATTGTTATTTTTCAACTCATAATTTTGATTAGATATTCATATTTTTATTAATTTTATTTTACTTTGTTACATGCACATACAATTGTTCATACAGAATGTGCAAAAAAATTAAAGAAATGATTGCAATAGCTCAAAAACATAAAGGGAATACAATTTTCTTACCTGCTGGGAATCATGGAGGGGGAAGGAGGGAACGGGAGGGGGGTGCAGTGTCATTATCAAAGGAGGGTCACTAGACTGGTGCCTGTACTTCGGCACCTCAGTTATCCAGATTTTAGAGCACCTGCAACTGCCTAGCTTATAATACAGATGGACAAATGGTGACCTAATTGAGGTGTATAAACTGGTCTTGAAGTCCGTAGAGCTCTGCGGAGATGTGTCTCAGCTGGTGAGAAGTATGTCACGGTCACTCCCTATGTATTGGAGCAAATTCCAAGATGGTGTCCTGCTATGACGTTGGAGTGATGTTTCCATTATGGCATTGATGATCTGTCCAAGATGGCGTCGATCATGTAGTTGGCAGGAGCTGGAAGATATGATGACCTAAGCGATGTCAAAGACAGCTGTCCGATAGAACCCAGGTGCACTGGGTCACCTGGCGGGTAACACGGTGGGTCACTGGGAGCAGCCCCTGATAGTGTTGACCAATTGTCGAGAGAGCGCTGAGCCAGATGTTGACCAATCAAAAATACACTTGGCTGAAGACCGGTAGGCTCACCCTGGGGTGGCTTAAGGCTGGGGTGCTGCCTGGTGTTGGGGTGCTGGGATGCTTCTGCTTGCTGGGAGAGAAGGCTTGTTGGCTTGTTATGCTTGGTAGTTGAAAATAGTTATGAGAACATCTTTAAGATAATGTTGCGAAGACGTTCAGGGTGTGGTAATGCTGTGGTGTAGCCACGTACAAAGAGATCAAATGTATTAAATCACTTATAATAATATAGATAGAAATTTGTACATCGAACTGGGACGTCACACAAGTGTTCCACTCAATGTGTATTGTTGCTCACTAAGACATATATCCAAGTGAAACAACAAAGAATATTAAACTTTAATCACAATCTTCAGTTTTTGTATAAAACACTGGTTTTTGATCAAAGATTCGTGGAGCCGCTGCCACCTATATGTTCCGGTTACCTGTGGAATCACTAATTAGAGGCAAACTGGAAGCAGCATTCATATATGTTTTTGGGATAAGTTTTCAAGCCCAAATGGACTTTTCTCCATTTATTAAGAAAATAAACTATTGCACAATTACTAGGATATCACCATAATTAACGCTATGAGCTGTGAACGTTAATAAGGGATGAAGCGTATATGTAATTAGCTTTATAGGCACACGTCTTGTGGGCGTGAGAGATAGGAACAGACTGGCAAAGGGCCGGCTACTCTATTCATGACTGTAGTCAAGAAATGAGAGTTCAGTGGAAATATACTGTCACATGTCCAATGAAATACTACTCATGGCTCATAGGAAAGTAACCATGTGTGATTTAATTCCATAAGCCTAAAGTATATAACCCACATTTATATAAGTATTACTGCCTGTTAGACGGGCTAATACAGTAACATTTCATTGCGGATATGTCCGTGGTCAGTGCCAGCCACCACCTTTTGTGTATCATGGATATGTCTGTGATTGGTATGGGAATAACAGTGCTGTAAAATTTTCAGACCCTCATAGACTGTTGCTCGGTCTAGTGCAATTTTCACAGAATTTCCCTTTTTTTAAACACTGAAGATTTTGTTTCCTTTTAGCTCTTTTAAACTCAGTACTATCACTTTGATGCATGTTTAAGGGCAATGTGGATTCAAAATAAAATCAATATTAAACAAAAAGTAGAGAACACCCGGCCTAATGCTTGAACCAGAATCACCATTGTTCAAAGTGTCAGTGACCACAGTACAGTATTCATGCCTTGTAAACAAAGTGGGAATTTAGGATAACACAATATCTTATCAGAGGTCAAGCATGGGATTTTTTTTCATGGAGAATGTATCTCCAGTTACATAATGGGAGTCAAATGTATTGCTAGGGTAATGTATAGTATTTATCATAGATGTTGGCTTAGTGTTTCATACTTTTTACTTTGTCACAAATCTCGTTCAGTTTCTTTAAGTACAGGTACAGGTATAAACTTATTATTGTATAATACTGTATATATTTTATTTTTTATGTTTATTATTGTCTCAATCATTATTTACACCAAAAAATTTAATTAAAATCATGTTTTGTACTACAGTATTTATTTTAAGATGTCTTGAGGTTTATATTTTCTTAGAAACAAATCTCAACTTTTATAATGGGAGTTTACGGGAAATTTTTCACTAATTTACCCCAAAATTTTTTTAGAGGTTTTCAGAAACGTAACCCTTTTGTAAATCGGGGTCTGCCTGTAATTGTAAAGTGCTTGCATCATGGAAAATAATAAGTAAGTGAGAAAGAAGTATATCTTGCTAAGGAATTATAATACAGTACACAAGAGGAAAAGAAAACCTCTCTGGACAGAAAAAAAAACAAAGCAAAGATAAACACAAAGAACTTTTTTTTTCTGCTTGAAGCTATTTTTTGTTATACAGTAGACACTTGCCATTCGCGGGTTTGCGATTCTCGATTTTGATGATTCGCGGAAAGCACATGGTGGCTACGGTGACTAGGCAGGCTTTTTCCCGCAGCACAACGATTCGCCCCACATAACATTTTGTGTTGTATTCTCAAAACTTTAGTGTTTCTGTGTGAAATGGCTCCTAAAAGACTGTCTAGTGTTAGTACTAGTGATGCTAGTGGAGTGAAATGTAAAAGGTAGAAATCAGTGATGACCCTGACAAAGAAAGTTTTATCATTAGATAAGTTAAAAGAGGGGACGAGTGTTGCTGTGGCTGGTCAGTTGTTTGGTAAAGTTATACAGTGGTGCACTAGGTAGTATAAGTTGCTATTTGTGGTTTTGCCAATGCGCCATTTCTTGGAACCTATCCTTCGCGAATGGCAAGGGTAATAAACACCTTACCAACTCTCCCTTTTTTCACTGTTTTTCTTTCATTCTTATTGCTTGTTTATGTTCTTGCACCTTTTTCTTCACAAAGCCTAGGCCCGTATTTACAGTTGACATACCCGATGGTCGGGCTGACCATTGGGAACCCGAAGCTCGAGTAGGGAAATATTTATTCAAGAACATGCCTTGGGCACTACGATGGGTTGGGATCCTGATCCATCGGGTAGGGCTACCAGCATGTGCAAATTGGCTGAATGACCCACTGTTACCACAACACAGGTGTCGAGTACCCCAATAATATTTCCTTCAAACAAAAAAATTTAACCAACACCAAAAAAAAAAGATTAACATCATATAACCAAACAAACATAAAATTGTCAAGAGGAAATCTATGGGATAAAGAAATTATTATTCTCTGGTGTTTGTGAAGTTTGTTTTGAAGGTTATATTTCACCGGGTGTTGGCCACACCGGGATGGCTGGCAGTTGTTGTGGCATGAGTCGGCTGTCACAACACGGCACAGGAAGGATCCGGAAATATGGTTAGCAATGAACATACCTCTGTCTTTTAAACAGGGCAATGCTTTAGTTAGCCTCATTCAAGAGAAGGGAAAATTATTCAATACAAGGCATCTGACCCCTGGAGCTGTGATAAGAAAAGAAATGCTTTGTTTGTTGATGCATGGCTGCACGCTCATGATCAACTGGGATTATTTATCACTTGTAAGTAACTGACAATCTTTGAATATGTATATGGATAACAAGACCTTCTTTCACCATCAAACTCATTTTCTATTAGTTTGGAATATATTCTATCTCAGTATATTAAAATTTGGAGGGTAAAAAAGTTTTTACATTAATCGGGACTGCCATAGGTCAGGTACCCCCTCCTGATGAATGGTTCCAACGGTCCTAATAAGAAACCCGATCCACCGGGACTGCCTTTGGATCTGGAGGTGTCTCTGAATAACCAAACGTGATAGTGCTCCCAATCGGTCGGGTGGTGTAATGACTGAATATGACCCTTTTATCACCCATCAGCAGGGAAGATGAAGACACTACTTACTGAAAAACAGTTTTGAATTTTAGAATATATATTAGATTACCCAGTGTTTTGAAGTTTGAAGGTTGCCAAATAACCAGAGGTAGGAAAACGAGATCTTCTCTCAGTATTGCTTGCATGAGTTACATGCCAGATACTTTACTTCTTTCCTGTGCATACTTATTACATCACCACCATTTTATAGCCATTGATTTATATTTTCTGAGATGATGCTGGGAGTTCTGATGGCAGTTGGAATAAGGAATAAGTAGATTAATGGTAAATATGTCATTGATGCATTGAAGGGTAAAGTATAAGATGGAGTACTGATGAAGTATGGGAATGTGCAGACAAAAATGGATCCAGTAGTGTTTATAATGAGGGAGCCAAAAGTAAGACGGAAGCACAGGTTGAAGGAGGATGTACAGTATATGAGAGGGTGTATTTGTGGACGAATTTACACTGATGTACTAAGATTAGGTTTTCTGGTAAAGGTTTTGCATGGTTCACCATGTTGGGTAACAGGCCAGAAGGTCTTTATGATGTACTGTACTGTATATTGAAAGATACTTATGTTTCCTTGTCTCTGTTCATAATTTTTCTTTTCATAGACTACTAAGAAATGTTGTACCAGTTTATTGAGTTTTTTTTATTTTTATGACAGGCAAGTCCAAGAGTAGCAATGGATGACAGCATAGTTAAGAGATTGATCCTTCGTATGCGCTCAGAGAAGGTCACGGAAACATGGTTTGATGAAGTTCAGACAGCATTATTTATGACGTTGCAGGAAGCAGAATTATTTTTACCTGCATTTAGAAGGTAAAGTCACAGATAAGTTTATTCTTGTAGTAATTATGTTTGTTTTTTAAATAGATAGTTTACCATATGTTAAGCCACATGTTATATACTTAAAATTTGCCAAATGATAATATATTAACCAGAAATTCACAGTTCTCACAATGACTCATTTAGGGTGGAAAATGTTGTGGAGGCCACTTGTTCAGTAAGTAAATACAGCAGTTTTCATAATTTACTTCTCTTACTTGGGATGAATTTGTCTTTAACCCTTAAGCCCTGAGTTAGGGTGCCGCTGGGCGTATTCCCCACTCGGGGGTAAATCGAGAAAAATCAACTTGTCCAAAAATAATTTTTAACCTTTTTAAATGATAAAAAAAAAAAAAATAAGATTGACCCTCTAGAAACTTCCCTGGCAGTGCAGAGGGAGGGGGGGGGGTGTGGGGAGATAAGGGGTCAGCTTGTTATGATGGCGAGCGCTCGTGGTCACCTGCACACTTAGCAGTTATTTTTAGCTTACCTTTGTGTCCGGGATTTCCAGTAATGCATATATTTACTGATCATAATACTTATTTCCAATAAATAATTCATTTAGAATTTATTTTATTTGCATTATTTTTCATAAAAACTGTTTGGCGACACACACTCAGTCTGTCGCCAGGCTGTCTGGCTGTTTTTGTGTCTGGTAGAGCAAGTAATGAGAAGAAATAATTATCAGAATAATAATTCCACAAATAAATACATTTATAACATAATCATAGCATTATTTTCCAGTAATACTACACTACTTTTATCAATATTACTTTGATACATGATAAAATGGACAAACAATGAAAATGAAACAAACAAAATTTTAGGAAGCTTCTCTGTGGCAGAGTGTGTGGGGCGTGAGAGGCAAATAGTAACACTGGAACCTGATAACCCGTGCTGGGCATTTAAACAGTGGCGGGAAAAGGCGCACATTCTGGAACGTCACCCGGGGCCTGCCGTTCTTGCGTTCTGGAATGACACCCGGGGCGTAAGGGTTAAAGGAAACAGTTCTTGTAGTTAATAAAAATACGGTAAATATCCTTTGCAAGTTTGCCATTTTGCAGCATAAATACAGCCTCAATTTCTATGGTTTCTAAGATATTTTTATATAATGTACTGTATGTACAGTCGGCCACAGGAATAAGTATACACATTGTAGCTGTAAGGTTCGAAAATGGTCTGGTAATGTTGAAACTGCACATCCTGATGCATGATGAAACTCAGCTCCCCCATTATCTCTAACTGTTTTCTGTTTCCCCTTCTTTATTCCTCTATTTATTTCTCTTCCTTCCTTTACAAATCCAAACGATCAGTAAAGAAAAGGTAGAGTAAGAGAAAAAGTGGGAGCTGGACGATAACTGCAATCCCATTCGGCAACAGGTTTCCTACCATTGGATACGATATATTACAGGGCGTACTTGTAATATAAACACAAGACACTAGTAAAACATTCACAACAAATGTATTTATAACATTTATGTAGGAATAAAACTTAAATTACAGGTCATTTTGTACTTTTGTCTGTTCTGTCCAGGACAGTGTTACCAGATATTTTGTCTCAAACACGAACCGTAGGTGTATACTTATTCTTGTCGCCGACTGTACATTCCACAATGAACAAATTTAGACCATAATTTCCAATTCCATGGTGCATTTCACTATATCAAGGATGATAAAGTGATTTACAGGCAAGAAATGTACAGTCTCTAGATGTATTATTGGAAAACAGAGCACTAAAAGAAACAGCTTTCTAAGAGGACAGTATAACATTGTGCCATATACAGTGGTCCCGAGGTTAACAAGCACAATCCATTCCAGCAGGTTGCTTGTTAACCGAAAAACTCGTTAACCGAAACCATTGTTTCAATGGGTTTTTGGGTAATTGGTTCCAGCTCACCGAAAATTGCCTAAATTCAACAAAAAAGGTAGAAAAGTACACTTACTTTGAGGTGTGTATGTAGAAGGATCCTGGGTGATGATGATGATGATGATGGGAATTAGAATGGGGGTGGAGGAGAAGCGAGAAGAGAAGGCATTGGGGTGGAAGAGAAGTCACCCCATGGTGCCATTTCACCCATAAAATTTTAGTTCTCTTGGTGTAATTCAAGATTATTTTCTTTAAATCAACACTGCACTGCATTATATGTTGTCAATATGTAAAATAAATTTCAAAATGACCAATAATTTGCTTGCAAACACAGAAAAAAGCATTTAGTTGAAGAGAGTCTCAAGCAAGATGTTACCTCCACTGAAAAGAAAGATAAACTAACACCTGTTTGGTGTGTTAACAGGCTGGATGGCACGCCAGAAACTAGTTTCTTTACCTTCACTTATGTTCAATAATTGTTAAAATGACTAAAAAAGTTAATATTAAACATTTAAAATTATTGAATAGTATAAACTTCTTGATATTTACTAAAATAGTAAGGAATTTAAGCCCTAAAACCGATTACTGTATTGGCGGACTAATACTACAGCTGGTGGACCGCCAAATGCAAGCGAAAACATGTTGAGGTCGGCTCGTAAAAAACTCGTTAATCGAGGGATTGCTCATTAACCGAAGTTAAGAATCTTATGGAAGGTAAATCGTTAACCGAGGCGCTCGTTAGCCGAGGGATCACTGTAGAGATGCAATCACAATGGCAATATTTCTTACCAATGAGTGATATTGTATATGTGAGTTTCACTGAGTCTCAGTAATAATACTGTACAGTAAGTCCTCGCTTAAAGTCAGGGTTATGTTCCTGAAAATGCGACATTATACGAAACAACGTCAAGCGAATCAACTTTCCCCATAAGAAATAGATAACATATGGGAGTTACGTTCCTGAGCCTCCCTTTGCCCCATGAAATACATTACACATACAGAAAAGAGTGCATGCATATACAACTACAAGTACTGTACTAAGTTTGTATGAGTACTCACCGATGGGCGGAGGTGTCTGGTGGGTAGTGAAGCGGAGGAGGCTGATGGCGGGAGCGGCGGAGGCAGATGGCGGGAACGGAGGAGGAGGGTGGGAGTGGAGGGAGGCGAGTCACTGAGACTCTGCGGCTGCCTCCTCCTCCTGCACTGACTGGGGTTCCTCCGCCGCTGCTTGCTCCTCCTCCTTTGAAGATTGCTCCTCTTTCGTTGTTGTTAGCTCCTCCTCTGCTGCTTTGTGCCCCTCCTCGGCTGCCGGCTGTTGTGAAGATGCTTCTGCCGGCTGCTGTTTGCTCCTCCTCGCTTGCAGGCTGTTGTGAAGATACTGCTGCTGCCTTGTGACGACGAAAAAATTAATCCAGCGTTGACTGCATAATGCTCCTCTTCTTCTTCTCCTTGTAGGTCTCACTGTAACAACCAAGACTATCATCACTGTTGTGTTGAATCGTTGAGCTACGTTCTCAGTTTGGTTCGTCATCGATGAAGATTTGCAAACCTTGCTAAAACATGTTGAATGATTCTGCCATCCTCTTGGAAGTTAGCGTTCGTTGAGGTTCTTCTTCTTCGTCATCTTCAACAGGACTGTGTTCTGTAGTTGTTGCAGATCTTCGTTGGTGAGCTCTTCTGTATGGAATGCCAGGATGTCCTCAATATCCTATGATTCCAGCTCATCAAAACCTGCCTCTCTAGCCAAGCTGAGGATATCCCTATTCACAGATGGGACTAAATCCTTGAATCCCGTAAAACTGTTGACGCACTCTGGCCACAATTTACCCCACACACCATTCAGACAACTTTCTGAAACTTCTTCCCATGCCTTGACAATGTTGTCAATTGCATGAAGAATGCTGAAGCCGTGCCAATATTCTTGGATCGTAGGTTTATTTTCTCCGTTAGTAGCCTTTAGCGATTGGTCCATGGTACGCCGTAAATAATACACCTTGAATGCGGCGATGATACCTTGGTCCATAGGCTGCATCAGTGCTGTCATGTTGGGAGGCAGGAATACAACTTTTACACTGTCATGCAAGTCGTCGAGATTGGGAGGATGAGCTGGAGCATTGTCAAGGATCAGAAGAATTTTAAAACCTAGGTTCTCCTTGGCACAGTATTTCATCATTGCAGGGAAGGCGTACACTGTTAACCACTGGCTAAATATGGCGCTGGTTATCCATGCCTTCTTCTTTGCCTTGTAAATGACAGAAAGATGATCCTTAGAGTAACCTTTCATGTTACGTGGGTTGGCAGCGCGAGAAATTAGCATAGGCTTCAGCTTGAAGTCACCGGCAGCATTCGCGTCAAGCAGTAGCGTCAAGCGGTCTTTTACTGCTTTATAACCTGGTGCTCTTTTCTCCTCCTTGGAGATGTAGGTCCTCTCAGGCATCCTCTTCCAAAAGAGACCAGTCTCATCCACATTGAAGACCTGCTTCGATGAGTAGCCTCCTTGCTGGATAATGCTTTTGAACTCCGGTGGGAATATCTCGGCAAGAACCGTGTCTGAACTAGCAGCTTCACCAGTCATCTTGACGGTGTGGAAATTATACCATTGCTTAAAACGTGAAACCATCCTCAGCTGGCCGTAAGGGTCTCTTCCTTTGATCATTCACCCTTTTCTGCCTTTAAGTCGTCAAACAAGGATCTTGCTTTACGCTGGATAACCATAAGGCTCACAGGGGCATTGCATTGATATTCTGGTCCTTCATCCACACAGCCAGCATCTTCTCCATCTTTTCAATCACAGAACTTCGAGCACGATTTGTCTTTGTTGCACTCAGAGAAGTACCACCTCCAGCACTAGCCTTAATCTTGTCCGTGTTGGTCCGAATAGTAAGCACCAAGAGCACCAGCAATGTCCACTGCACGTTCCCCTTTTTCGAAATCGGGTTAAAACCTCCATTTTCGTAGCAAGGCTAATGGTCTTACGTTGCTTCTTCACAACACTAGCATCAGTAGCACTTGATTGGCACTTGGAAGCCATTTCGAATGGTTAGAATACAGGATTACGAGCACAAACTCTTAAACACATAAGAATGCTGTGGAAACCTAACAAAGACTGGCGTCGCTTGGGTACGCTGTGAGACGTTCCGCAAGTGAGAGGTAATGCTCCAAGCTGATATAGCGTAGCGCGGCAAGACGAGAGATTGCTGTGCCATACAAAGTAGTCCATGACGCCGCAAAAACGACATTATATTGAGTAGTCGGGAAGTTAACCGAATTATTGGTATCTAAAGAGTAGTGATGTTATAACGAAACAACGTTAACGGAGGCAACGGTAAAATAGGACTTACTGTATTACTGTACAGGTATTTCCAAACTTTTTTTCCAAATAATAGCTGCACACTTTTGACTTTCTTCCCCACACCACTTTCTGTGAGACTTTCAGTATGATGTCTATGAA